GCAACTTTCGCAGTACTCATTGATAATCGATTGGCACCTTTGCGGAAGTACCAACGAAGACCGATCTGGACATTTCAAGCACCTACATTCATCAGTCAATATGACGGCTTCTGTAGGAATCAACTTGCTCGCCGTCTTTTTACTGGATTTTGCTATTCAGTTCGTCTGCTTTGTGTTTGCTGCCATATTCAAGGTCAATCTTTCACACATTTACATCAATTATACGGCAGAAACTGACTTTCATCCTTCAATAGACTGAGAAATTCTACGATCTGTCAGGATCAGTGACATACATTGGTTGCATTTTGATTTCTTTACTCTATCGACATGGAGACGACATACTGTCAAACCTGACGCCCCGTCAAATCATAATTGCTGCCCTAGTATGCATATGGGCTGTACGATTGGGAACCTTCTTGTTCATCAGAGTCATGAAAGAGGGCAAAGACGCTCGGTTTGATGGTGTCAAGGAAAACCCGTTGCAGTTTTCAGTGTATTGGGCGCTTCAAGTGGTTTGGATTTACTTGGTAAGCAGCGATCTGGTTGATCATAAAGGGTTCTTGATCAGGGCAACAAAAAAAATGGACCAGACTACGAATTGCTATTCTAAGCAATATTATCAACAGCAGCTGCTCTAACATGTTACTCTTTATTCTTTGCTTTCAGACTGCCTTGCCTTGTTGGATCGTGCTAGGAAATGATTCATACAACGAACCAAACCTCGTATGGTCTGACTACGTCGGCATTGTACTATGGGTGTACGGTTTCCTAGTTGAAGTAATTGCCGACACATCTAAATTCGTCTTCAAACTCACGAATCGCAAAGATTTCATATCGACTGGTGAGTTCACATTTGTTTCCAACCACTCGCAACACCAAGTACTAATCTTGCGTGCTTTGAAACAGGAATATGGAAATACTGCCGGTACGCAAACTACCATGGCGAAATCGTTCTATGGCTCGGGATGTGGATACTCTGCATCCACGGCTTCACAGACAATTGGCAATTCGTGTCAATCATATCGCCATTATTTGTAGCTGGACTGATATTGGGTGTTTCTGGAGTGCCGTTAGCAGAAGCTAGTGCAGAGAAGCGATACGGTGGACGAGCCGATTATCAGGCTTATAAGGCTGCTACTCCGAAGGTGTGTGTTACTGCTCGTGAGTTCGCAGGTACATGAAACTGACGTGGGATCTTTTTAGTACTTTTTGTGGTTTCCCAAGAAGCTTCAAGTGACGAACGAGAGTCAGTCGGTGCCTGGTAAGGCAAGTCTTTTTCGTCAAATTGACGAATGAGAAACTGTTGCTCGCACTACTGACATGATCTTTCGTGATAGAAGAGCCAGTAGAAGAACGAAGGGATCCAGAACAAGCTGCTTAAATTAGATCAAATGGTATCGTTGTATATATCACACATAAGAAAGAAAATTTCGCATACCGCCTCATTACTTCTGAAAGCACAAACTCAGTGTCAAACTTTTGACTTGTTTCCGCTGCGTCAGCTCGCACTTGACGTTTCGCAATTGCGCTACTTGAAAACTCGATCCAATGAGTTCTTGCATGTGATCCAACTTCGATCTTCAATGAGAGACAGAGATATGGTGTCAGCGATGACTTTGGCGCTGTTCTTTTCAACCAATCTAGTGTGAGATACATGCTGGATTTGTCGGCCGAAACAAAAGGAAAGTGACAAGGCGTTGGAATGGAGCTTAAAAGTTATAATCTTTTAAGTCATCAGTAGTCAACCTCACTTTGACTTGATAACCGTGACAGCCACCCGAGTAGACCAGTACTGTTAGAGGTTGGGTTGTTTTTTCTTGAGAGTTTATGTAATTGAGTTGCTAAAGCGAGAATACCACGGTCAGTCTACTTGAAACTAACATCGAAGGCACTGATTTGATTCAAATGCTTTTGCGGCACGGAAGTGTTCGTGTTTGATGTCCTTTAGTATTCTGCATTCGCCGTGCCTCAGACCAAGACGGCAGTAAACATGCTTTTAACGGTGCATGAAAAGATAATGTTTTAGGTGTGCTGTTGGTGCTTGCTATGTTGTTATGGCATGCAACAGCTCCGAAATTTCACATCACGTTGACTTTGGGCAAGAATGCATGCAAGTAGAGGTGCGAAGGGTTCGCATTGAGCGTGAATTCTTCATGAATGGAGTTCCCATACTTTTACGGTGGTTGTTTTGTAGTAGAGAAGAGAGAGACAGAGTTAGATATTGAAGAGCAGAATTAGAGACTATAATGGCCGCTTGAGAAAGCATAACAATGCGAGGCCAATTCCCTTGTTGTATGCTTGTTAAAACAGTGTCCTCAGTTATCCATAGCTTCACTCATAGCTTCATCAGCCCGAAAAGCAACAACAATTCGTCACCAGGTTTCGGTCATTTTAAAGAGCTCAGGATCTGACTAGAGCGGCACATATAAGCGCTTGTATCATACGCACTGAGTGCTCAATATATCGTATTCTCAATTGCGATGTGCCTTGAAGTAACCTCGTGTTGTTTTGTGAAAAGTTGTTTTCCATCGTTGGACGCGAAGTCTCCCATCTAGCCCTTCTTCAACATGACAAATGGTCAAATCAGATAGGATCGAACAAAACAAATGATTCGTTCGAAGTCTATATGCTTGACTATATTGATGAGGCTTACAAACTCAACAGTACAAACGAGTTCATGTTTTTTTCTGCTCTTTTGAATCGTCCACACAAAGTTTAAGCGAGTAACATCTTGGCAGTTTCGACATCGTGGTATTCAGTGACCATGGCAGTCAATTTTCCAGCATCGCTGTATGACCTATTTAAATCAAGTGTTAAGCAAGACCAACAATACGGCTTCCAGATAGCTTCAACCAGGAATACACATACCAGATCTGTGATTCCTTGGCATCATCGTAGGTCTTGCCTCCCTTGGTGAAGTTGGTGTGGAGGATCTATAGATGACGAGCGTTTGATTAGAATGAGTCAAGATTCAGTTAAAAGCACAACGTACAGCTTCAGCCTTGTTGCCTGGGTGGAACTTGACTTCCATAAGCTCAATCTTCATGTTGGAGACACCGGCCAAAGCTTTTTGGTTGGCAGCCAAGTATTCGGTGAATTTGTGTTGACCGGATACGGAAAGTCCGGGTGTGTTGACTGTGACGGGGATGTCTGCGCTGGCCACTAGTAGTTGGAATTGGTTAGAAATATCCTTGCAAACTGTGAGTCTCCATAGGAAGAAAACGGTCTTCGTACAGTTCTTCATGATGTAGGTAACATCACCCTTGAGCTACATGTCAGAACGGAGAGTGTTAGTTCAATGCAAAATGCGATGGCACATATAATTGAGCTGTAATGATTGGATGGCAAAAAAAGCTTCGGCCATTTTCGAGGATGTCGGATCGTTGCAAAAGCGCAACCCAAACACCATGTAAAGCACCATCGAAATCATATTTTGACACAAGAACTTACGAATGCTTCGTATCCCTTTTCCAATTCTTCCTTGACGATGTCGTGTACGCCTATAAGCAAAATGTGTGGTTAAGACTCATGGACCAAACTATACATGAAACAGGTTTGGGAAGGCTACGGAACAGTGGGCACTTACTCATGTTTAAGAGTTGAGATTAAGGTGCTTTAAGATGGCTATTGATTGTTTCTTTAGTTTGTTGATGCGGCGGTGGAACTCACGATTTTAATGTGACACCTCACATGTCAGGCGGGGTTTAAACCACGGAACCTCATGGAACAATCTGTATACCAGCTCGGATCGCTGAAACTCTCCATTTCTGGCCTCTACGTGCACGCTACGACAACCAGCTCTCATTACAGTACAGCAATACATGTTTTTTTTTCGTACCCAAACTTTGTGACTACAATTTAGAGCGTCGTCGAAATAGCGACATGATTGAGATCAGAGTCCAGATTCCGAAAGCCATAAGTCGGCCTTGAATTCGTGCGATTAGACTTGCTTTGGTGATGTGGACGTCATGGAATGGATCCCACTCTGAATTTGTATGTGGTTCATATTCGACATATTTTGCAACCGCAGCTGCCATATCTGGCGAGAGAGTTTCTGATATTGTGGCGTATATCATGTCCATACCTTTTTAGGGGCAAGTGTGTTGTTGTGTGAGTTAGTATTGATATTCGAGTCATACTACCCGCCCCTTGTGACTTACCAGCAGAGACTCCAGATGAAGTCCAATACTTGCCATCGCGCACCCATCGCGCCTTAGCGACCCAATCAATGTTCTTAAACGCAGAGGTGCTATATATCGGTCAATTCATGTCAGCAATTACTTCACACTAACAACATTCCGAGCTCAAGGCTTACACTGAAAAGAGCATCTTGTTACTAGTGGCACGTTTTCCATATAGCAAGCCAGTTTGAGCCAAAATCCACGATCCAGTGCAAACCTAGAAGGAAAAGTCTATCAGACATGGGCGCTTGAAACCTCGTTCTCCGGTGATAGCAACCGCTTCATACCGTCCAAACCATTTCAGCCCTTTCGGCTTTCGCCTTCAATGATGCCAGTGTTTCGAAATCGTAGAGCACTCGAATTGTACCAAATCCTCCAGGAATGAATAAAATATTCAAAGGTGGACAACTCTCCAGTGAATAGTCCACATATGCGGTTTGTCCCACGTGAATCTTGACTGGCTTGCCATCTCTGCTAACTAGTAAGTGACAATTCACGTGAGTGGAGCTAACTTTGACGACAACAGACCATTACCACTGCAACATACACGTCACGATATTGAAGAATGGCTCCAAAAGTGGGCACCCAAGAAGCTCATAGGGACCATAGACGTCTAGGGCTTCGTAAATGTCATATAGGAAGATTCCGATTGTTTTCTTGGTTGGTGGTTTAGCAACTTCCAGCTTGGCTGGAGTGCCCTTATACATTTCCGAGAAGGGATCCCAACTAGCATCAGTATGTGGTGCATATTCAATAGCATCTGCAACATTTTTGGCTGCTTGAGGCGAGACCAGTTTCGAGATAGCGGCGAAAATCATGTCCTAATCCAAGTAGATATGAGAACACGAATTCGTAAACTTGATACAGTAAACACCATCAAACTACATACCATTCCAGCAGACACTCCTGAGGATGTCCAATATTTGCCCTCTTCAATCCATCTTGCCTTTTCAATCCAGTTTACTTGAGGACGAACTCCTTTTGCCATTGCGAAAACCATTTTATTGCTAGTTGCCCTTTTGCCATCCAATAGTCCAGTAGCAGCCAGTATCCAAGACCCCGTACAAACTGTCCAAACGAATTCTGCCTTCTCGGATCGAGTCTTTACAAAGTCCATCGTTGGTTGGTGCTTTAATACATTTTCACAACCATTGCCACCGGGAATGAAGAGTACATCCAGATGAGGGCACGATTCGAAAGAATAGTGAGCCTCGACCTGTTGTCCCACATGAATCTTGACTGGTTTGCCATCTGACGTAACTATGGAAACAAATCAATATGTTTGGTTTGATGTAAGAGACCACACAAAACGTCCAGCTTCTTACTTGTTACCACTTTGAAATGCGATTTCATAAACGGATTTCCAGACAGAAACTCGTAGGGCCCATAGGCCTATCGTCAAAACGATGAGTAAGATCAATGTCACGAGGTTCAAAAATGGGAGGTGATACCGTACATCTAAAGCTTCAAATTCATCATAGAGCAGTATCCCTACAGTTCTCATGGTTGCAAAATGGTTGTTTGTCGGTTTACTTGATATAAAAGTGCACCAGCACGAAGCAAGGTCAACGGTGGGGTGGCTTTAATGTTTGGAAGAATTGAACCGTATTTGATCAATAGCTTTGTATATTTACGATTAGCGAGAATAAATTTTTGGAATACGTCGGTGATTGCATTGTCCTTTCGTCACCTACGTGGAAAGCTCGGAAGTCTGTTTCAACAAAAATGGACGCAAATGGACATTACCATCTTTTCAGCGATTGGAGGAAGTTCAAAGAGTAAAGACATGCAATCACGTTATCCTTATCTGTATTTGAAGAATGGCTTTTTCTATTGGCATATAGAACACTTCTGATTGTTGGTTACAGCAACTTGAACAAAAGAGGACATCGTAATGTAGTTGCAGAAGCCTCTAGCGCTGATGTATTCATCTCAATGGGTATTTATTATAATACCTTCAAACTTCAGTTACTTCGGATTAGTTCGATTAGCTTGCCATCAGCACCCATTCGTCTTCAGATCACGACATCTCAACAATTCATATCAATTTAGGCTTTCCGGCTGTCAATTGGTTGAATGAGGCACAGTACAGATAACAGTCACATTTAAGAATTCTGCCACTCCTTATCGGTATGAAGTCATTTACCTGTGGATGCACCACACATCAAATCTTCACGGTTTTCACATACGGAAACGACTAACAGCCGACTTGACAGCACCAATACCTTTTTATTCTTCAAATTGACTGTCATCATACTCAAGGAACTCCCTCCCAACGATGAGCATCAAGTACCTGTCCCAAATCCTCGTCATCAGCTTCTTAATTGTCGTTGTTTGGCCTCCATGCATTCGTGCCTCAGACTATGACATTGTACCAGCGGAGCATCTTCTGTCAAAGATTGAAGTGTATTGGAATCATCTCAGTGAGGTGAGACACTCACTTTCGCTCAGCAATTGGGAATACCTCTGTCGTTGAGTGTCAAACCGCTTTGTCGTAGAAAATTCTATTTGGGGAATCGGAAATATCATCAGAACAAATCAATCGAGCTCTGTTATGCCTGGTTTCGCTGAACACGAAAGAGTTTGAGGTGTTGACCACAATTTTTTTGTGTCAGAACGTTCCTGTCAAACTCCCATACGAACCAACAACTATTTTCCCACCTGCTTTGGCATTCTACTTCAATACGGAAGAACTGAACTTGCCACCGAATGATTCGCAGCCGGGTTCCGTCTTGAAGCTCATCAAGTAACTTTCAAGAGCAATTTTACCGACAGCCAACCGAAACACAGCTCTTTGACCTAATCATTTCATGATAGGAATTACCATCTTCTAGTAGCAGAAAAGGCCAAATTTGATGTTATGAGGATTCACAAACTCGTCTTAGGACGTACATTGTCTAATGAACAACAGCAAATTATTGACAATCGGTTTGATGCCTTAAACTCATTTATTTCTCGCCATCGCCAGCTGGCTAATGAATATGCTATAGCCATGATCCAAAAGGATACTATACATATCGATCACCCGGAAATTGCAGAATCAAGCAATCGACGCGGTCGAAAAGCTCGTGTTTCTGGACCGCAGATGTCAGAACCCATTACAAGACATAAACTTTTGAGGTATCGCTCCTTGCTGGAAATGGCATGGTTTGATGTCCAGATGGTAGGTGATCGTTTTCTGTCGGCTTGAGAGTGCCTTTCAGCTCTACCAACCACGTTTCTGAGAAAGGTATTTTCTCTTTAGAAAACTCAAGCTGGATGGCCAGTCACATCAGCTGTCCTCCATGCCATGCAGGTAGGTGTCAGTATGCTGTGATTGCTCGTAGCTAATGCGCAGCTGAACCATGTCAGAATAGAGTGAAAACAGACCAGCCTATCTGGAAGAGTTGCATATGTGTCAGATTCCCCTTCCAGTGGTCAAACTTCTCCAGTCACCTTCTGAAGTGATGAAAAGCTGCCCCTCCGTAATAGCGTAAGCCAACAACTCGTTGCACTTGCAATTGTAACACCTCAAGCTCACCTGCTTTTCCAAGTGCTTATCACAATTTGGTGGCAGCAAAAGCTCGACTAGATATTTCTAGATTCAAACTGTATCTCGGTACTTGTGCGTTGCAGGAGACTCGAGGTGCCATAAAACACTGCATTGTCAAGCTCAGCAACTGTGCCAGCCTTCATCAACGATAGGTCTCTCCCGAGTATTCGGAAGAGATTCAGCAGAAACAAACGGCGTTAGAAGCTAATATGCAGCACAAAAGACTTCGATTTGCCATCATGAAACTAGGACAACTACGTAAACAACTGTCGGCATATGTAATTGTCAACGTTTGATGACCACGATTGTACGACGCTGATGGCTCTATCATGTATTTTGATAGACTCAAGTTGAATCACCTGACGTCTTTGCCACACTCACCTCATTGATTTTGTACAAGAAGTTGCACCAGCGTCCAGATACATTGACTGACGATGAAGTGAGATTGGCATAGTGAGAACTTCTAGATAACTTATACGGACGCATTCAGGACTCAGAACTTTCTTTTTCGTAGTGAATATCATGCTATGATTCTGGAACGACTGAAAAATGAAGTTTCAAGACTCACGGCCTCCCTTAAGTCTGGAAAGAGCATTGAGCCTCAATCCACTTTGAAACGCCGACTTCGAGCTGCTGAACGCCTTAAAGCCAAATACGAAATCCTTCGTCGTCTTTACTTCGACAGTCTACACCAACGTAATATTGATATCGATGACAACCAATATGAACATGATGATGCATCAATAATACCAGTGCCCAGAAATGATCCAATCAATAGTCCCGTAGCCTTGCCAAAGGAGATTTCTGACGCATCGACTCCTCCTACCACCGTCGGTTCCAACGATCCGTCATTAGCGGCAGTATCAGACGATCCAGCCCCTCAATTCAACATAGACTCTGAAAGTGGATGGAAACATGACTGGCAGGCTGATTGCACCTGGACAGATAACTTGGTTTGTGATCGTGAGCTCAATGAATTTGACTGTGGCCAGTATTTTGGTATTAATGATGACACCAATACTGCTATAAATCCTATTTTTGAAGAAGGTGAACCTTCCAAGCCTGACAAGGAAGAGGGTGCAAGTAATAAAGATGTCGCTGCCACGAATCAGTATGTCGCAGAAGGTCAACTTGAGGCAAGTGCTGCCTTTGATGTGGACAACAACGCTCAAAATGACTTGGGAGACTTTTGGAATCTCAATTGGGAGACCATCAATCAGAGTCTCGAAATCCTTGATAGTGCCAAGATACGAGAAACCGTCCAAACACATAAAGATGATATTGTAATTAGAGATGCCCATGAATCGAATCATGATAACATCGCACCACAAGAAAATGGAATAGACCCTTGGATTAAGCCAGGCCAAGAAGAGGATGATTGGATTAACCAATGTGTGGCTTATATGAATACCGTAAGAAATTACTGTATTGTCGAGGCAGGAGCGTCTCTCAAAGAGGATATCCAAACCATGGTTGCAGGACCTACCGACCATAAACCATTATTCAGCTCTCCTCCTGATATTGACAACATTGATGAATACGGATTCAACGTCCCAGACGATGTAATACTCAACTTCAACCCTGTATTTAATCAGCTACAACAATCGAACGAACCCAGTACCAAAAACACAGGCAAACAACCCGCCAATCAACGAATAAATGATATAACGCAGTATGACATGAACCACCTCGATTTTGACCCACACGCATCAATCGTATTTGGAGACCATTCGAAAGAGGTCCGAGAAAGCAACCCTCTTGTTGTTTCACCTGCTGAGGCACAACTAGGAAGTACTCTCTGTCGTATCGAGATAGGTACCAATATGGATCCGTCGTCACATAATAATAGAATGCCCAGAAGCTCACTAGAATGGAACGAGGGATCTCGAGCACATAATGAGGCTGTCGAATCTATAAAGGAGCTTCATAGATCACTGTCTGTTGGAAATCGAAGTGGAAAACGAGCTCGAGAAGACTCGTTGGAGCATCGTCATAGTCATGATGGTTCTATCCGCTCATATGGTCGGCAAAGGTCACTTGGGAAGTAGAAAGAATGAGTTTTGGTATTTGAGGAGTCAGCACATGTGCAATAGCATATGTTAAAAAACAATATTTTGGTGGTATTCGCATTTGCATCTAAAACAGTTATTGAAGCTACACTGTCTTTGCGAAATACCGGTTGCGTCTATTTTAAAGGCAGAAAAAGAGGAATAATATAAATGCCTATCGCTGAAGTTGGTTTTACTTAGAGCTACTGAGCTTATAAAGTACCATTATAGTCACTAGTTACCAAGACGTGGTCTCTTGGGTCCTTCAATACTACCACCATATGCTTCCGTTTCCCACACTAGACGATCTGTACTATACTCATTGGGCCTTACATATCCACTGTCCTCTCTCAGTCGCATCGAGCCTGATCGCTGTGATGCATGTGCGTTCGGATCATTGAGTGGTGGTGCCGCCGCTGATGACATTGGAGGCCCCAGCTCGAGCCTACTTCTTTCCTCCAACCCAGAATCCATCTCTAGAGCCATTACAGCTTCAAAAAATTCATCTTGTTCCCAAGTAGACCACTTTGGCTTAACCTCAACACTATTTACTACATCTTGATCATTATCCTCCTGTTGGACATTCGTTGACTCTTGATCAGAGATACAGTCTTCCATGTGCAAATTATTGCACGATTCCGGCACGAGTGAGCGAGTACATTGTAATTCAAAAGTTCCGCCCATATTATCGCCAACTACAGATTCAGGCTGAGATGGTTTCTCCAAAATCATTGAGACTTCGAGGAAATCTTCATCACACCTTAAGTACGACTCGGAATCGATACATGTTTCGGCCTTGTTGTCCATACGTGGATTGTCTGATTGTAGGGCGAGCGAACGACTATTCTCTGCAGCATCGTTACCAGATGTCACCAGTATACTATTTCCTACTATTCTAGCGTCAGGCTGAGGCATCTGTGATGCAGCACCATAGAGGCCTAACAGAGCATTTCGATACAAATCCTCATGATTTGCATATAGTGACGCTTTGTCGTTTCCTATGGGTATTCGTTCAATAACACCTTCAGGCTGTGATGCATGACTTTCTAAGCCTGGAACTGCTTCTCCATACGAATTTTCATGACTGGTCTGCTCAGTCACTATATCCTCTACTAGTGGTATTCGTTCCGCCACAACTTCAGGCTGTGATGCAGTGACATAGAGGCCTAACGAAGCAGCTCTATACTGCTGTTCAAGAGTAGTATGGTCTAAAAATAACTTAATTATTGTGGTCTTGCGTTCCGTCAACGTCTCAAGCGTCTCTAGGGTCAATCCTGGCAGATATGTCTGATAATTGGGGTTCAAGAAGGGTAATAGCCGTACCAGAACACCATCAGCCATCTCAAGGAGGTAAGCATGATATTCTGCCAGGACTTGACATTCGAGTTCAGACATCGATGGGTTCGGAGGAGCCTCAAGTTGCTCTGGAGTGAAAAGAAGACTGAGCTTGTTTACACTCCCCATATCAGCCAATTTTTGGTCACTCTAGTACAGCGATAGTGTTAAAAATTGTATGCACAAGAAAGATTCTGACACAGCTGTCAAACTTCCACTCCACTTTCAACCACTGAGCCGGCTGAAGAACATATGGTGTACATATACCGAAATTTCTAAAGCGTAATCTTGCGCAATAACACGTTTTGAGTCCATCAGCCTCCGTTTGTCCTAAGAAGATGTCAAAATGTGAACACCAATGTCCAACAATTCCCGATCCCGAAAGCATTCATACCTCTCCAGCTCTTCGCGTCATCGTCTTCAAAGTAACAAGGATGCTATTTAGGCTGTCATCTTTTTCCAACATTGCTGGGGTGTTTGTTGCAGATGCAATTCCAATGATAATGAGAAATCCCAAAACCAGTTGAAAAGAATGCATTATAAGAGATCTTTGCTTTTACAGGTAAACGAGAGCTAATTTATACGACGTGGGTTGTCTGCTGTTGCACTCTTAGGTGTTGCGTAACTGATTTAAGTTGCTGAAGGTTCCAAAGTGTCTCGTAAGAGAGTAACGCTAAGGGCCTATCAGAATTCATCACGATTTGTATGTTTAAAAAAGTCTCCGCTTGAAAAAGCTCAAGATATGTTGCCAGCACGCTCAATTACTAGGTTGACAAATTGGTGTTGAAAAACAGGCTGTACACGTCAAGTACCGAGATATTCTTCCTCACGACACTGTTGAAATAGAATGGTAACAATTTGGAAGCAGCAGAAGATACATTTCACGCTGTCCCTATTGTTGTTTTGGTGCGTCTCTCGTCCACCCACTTTCTCCGATTTTGATTTTCCGGAGCTCTCTTATGAAACTCCACAACAGAGAAGTGAAATAGTGCACACTCAACATGGTCAAAAGTGAATTAGTGCACACTCGACATGTTCAAAGTGAAGTGGGAGCGCTCGACGGGCTCAATGTACACCGAGTCAACGGCTCCACAGAGGAAGGCTTGAATTAAAGAAGATGACGAGCCTTCTTTTAATACACTTCACCACTCAACAGGCTTCACTTCGAATGTACCCAGACTCGACAGGTCTTGATTCAAAAAGCTGCTGCTGTTGAGTTTGAATCCTTAGACCACACCCCTTCTACGAGTTGACTTCACTAACACGTCTAAAGGTGTCGGGTTAGGGAAATTCATATGTTCGAACTGTCGAGATTTGGCCCTCATACACACCCCCCTCCTAGAAGATTTGGAGTTTAAGGAACTGAATTCTGTCGAGTGTATGTATAATTGGATGTCTTCCCGCAGACTTTTACCGAATTTATATAAAGCTCAAAATCACTTTGCAAAGTTTTGTAAAGTTGGTTACCCCGCTGCCTCAGGTTTATATACGGGTTAAAAGGTCAATCTCGATCGCGTCTGCCACCTCCTTCTAGCATAATTGACAGATTGAACTGAACCAAACGAGCGATCTGAGGCAAGCGACCTAACTGTGTTGATGGCTGGTGTTAAACCTCGACTTTTTCTTGCAAGTAACCATCAGAACTACAGCAGATAAGTTCATACATCATAACATTATAAACTTTGGTGTGCTGAAAATCTTTGAGGAAGGGGGGGTACCCCCTTGCTAAACATAAATCTTTAACAACCCCCCTCGCACCGTAAACTTGACCGCGCTCGAGCAATTTTCGACTTTGACGGCGTTAAATATTTACAAAAGTCTACGGGAAGACATCCATTGTAACCAAAAGCACGCTGTCGAGTGTTTGGACTGAGTTTCTTGAACTTTGGTTTCTCGAGCTTTCTTGACTATAGATGCGAATGTAGTAAGATGATGACTATGGATTGCAATTATCAAGAAGACGAGACGATATTTGTAGTCTTGAAACTATTGCGAACTGCACAGGACAACTGAAGAACGACTCGAAAAATAAACTCACAAATGACAAACAATTGCTTGAACACGACACAAGACTCATTTCTTTAAGACTTTGCAGTGTTTATAATATATACAACTATCCAAAATAGGCTCGGGCAAACCACTCTTATCGTTTGCATCTCCAGTTCATGATCGCCTTGACCATGAACCTGGTAAGTCATATGTACACAAATCGATAGATTAAACAGCTCCCATCCATCGATATCGATAACGACCACCTCCAAAAATTCAGAGAAAAATGTCGAATATTGTAATCACTGGTGCTAACAGGGTAAGTGCCCTACATGCGGTGTCTCCAATAGTCCACTCGCTTATAAACAAAAACCTTCACTTGCCACCTTAGGTTGTCGGGCATGCATTAACCAAACACTATCTCCTCCAAGATGCCACCTCTCGCATTGTCGCTACTGCCCGTACCCCGGCTTCTGCCACTGTCCTGGCTTAATCTGCCAAAATCCGTAAACAATTTCACATTTGACGGAGACAATGAAGAGTCCGTAACTGCATTTGGCGAAGTAGTCTCCAAAGTTTGGGACCATGTTGACATTTTGATTAATAATCTTGGTATGATGCCAAAGGAGAAACCGTTGGAAGAAGTGTAGGTTTGCTATGCTATGCTGCTGTTTGGGCTTTAAGGGTACACTCATCGATCTTGATGCCTGGTAAGCCACGCAAAGATTTCCTAGATTCAATCAGTACAAACCCTCTGGCCCCCTTTTATGTCACAATGGCATTGCTCCCTCTTATTGAAGCGTCCTCCAAAGCTCAAGTGGTCAATGTATCCACCTTGGTGGCGTCTATGACCTTGATCCCCGAGACTATTGTATTCGCAAATGATGTCGCATATCGAGCTGCCGAGGCTGGTTTGAATGCCATCACTGTTGTGCTCGCTGGAACGTACAGGACATCACCATCATTTCCCTACACGTATGTAGTGCCTGTAATGCAACATACCACCAAATCCTTGCCAGTACATGTGACTCCAAAACTTTAACGGCATTCTCGCGATTAGCCTGGTCTAGTCTTGACAGACCTAGCAACTGCTGTAGGGATCACTGCAGCGAATGCTCCGCCGTTTGCTAGAAGGCCTGATGTTTTAGCTACTAGCATCATTAAGGTTGTCGGAGGATTGAAACTTGAGGATAGTGGAAAGTTTTATAGCTATGATGGAACAACACAACCGTAGTAAATGGAGTATCAACTGGAAACATGTACTTGATGTTGTGAAAGAATGAGAGAGAGTATACAAGAGAGGCCGCAGATCTATATCACGCGTTTCGTTTTATTACTAGGATTCCCTGTGTAGATCATTGTCATCGGTTCATGTTTGTTCGGGATCTTGGTGACGCGTCCACGTCAGAGCAGCTAAGCCGCCGCATCTCTGCATACGCTGCATAACTCCCAGAGAACGAAACGCGAAACAAAAGTCCCTCTGCCTCAAACAGGTACTCGAGAGCTCTGCTTGGATTCGGTCGATTCGGTCGCTCAATCGATCGCAGCGATTCATGGCTCCAAGCTCTCAAGCAATGAGCCATTTATTGCTTTCTCTGGAGCCGGAAGACTCTCCCATTGCTCAAGATATCTCGCCGGATGGTGTCGAAGTCTACGAAGTGTGAGTGTTTTTTGTTCTTTTTTCTAAATTGAGCGTGTCCAGCTTGTTCAGAACAGCAAGTAGCAAAGCAGGAAATCAATTTCTGATATTTATATTGATCCTTCTAATAGGCCATCGACGCGTTCACAAAAGCTAGCTAGAAATCTAGAACGCATTCGACTGCAAAAGACATTAAATGCTGGCAATGATGAAGCTAACGAGACCAAGAACAGCAAGGAAGAACCACCCAAAGTCTATCCGACAGTGCAAATTATTCGCGCTGTAGAGTAAGTGAACGATTGCAAGCTATTATTACGCTGCCATCTCCTTGCAAAGATCAGTCATCATCACATTTTTCCTTTAGGCAAGCAAGGTTTGAGATGAATTTATTAAACCAAACTGTGGAAAGATTCGTATTTGGTACACGTGGCCCATATCCATCACGTCCTTACACTGATGATGCATCGCAACTGACCATGATACGAGCTGATGGACGTAAAGGACCACGGTTGGAACGTCAAATAGAAGAGTTGCAGACCGTCTTGGGAGCTAAAGATAATGTAAGCAAACTTTAAATCAAATTCCTGGATGTCTTGGATTATTAGATCACCTTTGTGCAACTATGGCATTTCAGAAGTTTGACTCTGTTCAAGGGCTTGACTCAACCGTCTTGACCACGTATATAGGCACTTCGACAGGTATCAGACACATTGAACAAATCAGCCGAAAAGATTCAAAACTTGTTGAAATCGGAGCACTCCTTCTTTGAAGAATATGTGCCGAATATGAGAAGGGCTGGATGGTTTCTACAAACAAGGTTACGAGCACGAGCTTCATTTGAAGGCGGTGGAGTAGCTCCCACGCCGATTCGTGAATATTATGTTGATTATGGATATAATGCAGGTGAGGCACTAGTTGTTGAATCTGAGCACCATCGTTGAAACGCATTCTTCTCATATTTTGTTAGCTGGATCAACGTTTGAAAGCTGTGAAGCTTTTGTCATGCGTCGATTGGATGGTGGAGAAGATCAAGAGGTTAGATTAGAACTGAAACATAAGAAGACGAGGCGTATGGTGGCTTCTATAATAGGTCAATCACAGACTAGAACTTCAAAGTTCGTGAAGACAGGTAAGATTTCGAACGAGCAGAGGATAGTTAGTGTACAAAGAAAATACTAAAACTTTCGTGTTCCTATAGATGTCACCATACCACAAACAGTTCCTATGCAACTGCTAGCTGCTCAATCGACAGCCTTTGAGATTGAGCTCTTTAAACGAGTCAGTGTTTTGACTTTTTTCTATGACTGTATGGAGGCAACTTACACCACGTTTTGGAACTAGATATTGTCTGATATAGCATCAGATCCATACTTGTCTCGTCAAGCTCGTATCGCTTCCAAATCTGTATCCTTACCTATATCGGATACCAAGACACTACGGTTCGAACTTGTAAATGAAGCAACCTATCAGCCTCCACCAGATTCAATAACTGATTACGATGTCACATTGATTGAGTTGTTGGCACGACAAGGGCTACGTGCGATTCATCGGGAACGCAGGTCCCATCTAGAACGTATTGCTTTGACGGGCTCAACTGCCACTCCCAAAAAGTAGGATCTTGCTCGAGATTGGAATTGACGTATAATCCTAACTTTTTGACTTGTTAGGGCAAAGATCAATATGATATTGAGCATTCTTAGAGCCGTTTCTGCGCAGGAATCATTCTTGCCACTACACCGTGTCTTGACCAAAACATTTGAACCTATCGCGACCCGTATACCGGTAACACTGACACGTGCCGTGTCTACAGACAAGCACGAATGGACCGTCACTCTCTTTGACAAGTGGACAATCACCATCAGTAAACTAATCATACCCCTTCAAGGCTACATAAGTAACAAGAGCGGCAGCAACCAATCGAATGTATCACTTAAGTCTACAGTATCGAATGCCACCATGGATTCTATAGTAGATGACTCTCAATTGTTTGATTTCTTGGCACGAGAAGTGAGGTTGGCTTGTTTGGATGTGATTTCTCGTCAAGCACAACAGATCACGATGAGTGCGGAGAATGATGGAGTATGGGAATGGGTTGAGGCGTCTGCTATTTCTCGTAAGCTTGTAAGGGGTGGGAAATCTGAATGGTATGACTGGTGTTTGTCGTTTGAGCTTTTTTTCCGCATGCTCTTACCTTTGCTCTTCAGGTGTGTGATTACTGGACATGGATCGACATTCTCGTCAACGGTGTTTGATGTTACCATAGGACGTCAGCTCTTGTCCAGGATTACTTTGATCTCATCTGACCCGAATCGATTATTTATGGATGATGTCTCTCAAACGCTTCTCGACCTCTTTATATAGAATGTAAAAAATCACGTGTAATTGCTAGTAGATATTAGATATATAAATGCTCATCGCCTTCCAGGATCGCCTTCATCTACTTGTAAAAATGTGTGTGATGTGTGCAACTCTATACAGTAGGCGTAGATGACAACGCAGCGATGCAACACATACAAGATAGCCGATGAAAAGCCATTAATAGAATGCGCGCTGGCAGCCTAACATACAGCAAATAAGCGTACGCAACCTTCTTATTATACAGTTTGAAACCATGCATGTCAAACACGAGCAAAATCAGCATCAGCAGCAATATGGCCAGTCTTCAGGAGCAATCAAGAGAACTGCGTCTGGAGAATTCAAGCCTGCATCAAAACCGATAGAGCTGGATGAACTTGCTTCACGTGCTATGGCTCAAGTAAACAAATCAACATCAAAAACCACACATTTGATACAAAACAACAATCAAACATTGCAAGCTCATACACCTCGTTTGATAAATTAGAAATTCGCAAATGCAGCTGTATTCTCCTGGAATCGTGTAAATGCTCCTCAGCATACATCTCCCAAAGAAGACGGACAAGCCGAAGCACCGGATGCACATGCAAAAACCAATGCTGTTGAACGATCGCCTATAATCGTATCGCCTACAAATTCAATTCCATCAAACATTGACTGGGAGCCTGTATTTGTACTGCCTGACGGTGTTGTCGTACCTATGGTGGTTCATGAGATTTTTCGCGAGGGACTGCCTACGCAGATGGTGCTTGAGGATCGGTACAGTATCTGAGCCCACATTGAATTTGAAACCAAAGCTCACATTCCCTTCCTTTTAAACCAAGGTACAACATTCTCCCTGAACAACTCCCCAGATCATTCTACACGTCTCTGCACTGGGCCTCTGACAACCGTAACGGCCACTCTTTTGTCCTGCAATGGAACTGGGGAGACGCAGAACCGCATCCATTCATTGTTGAAATGTGTGGGATGAGACGCATGGCGTGTATAGAAATGAAGGATGTCAATGGAGAGATATGGCAGTTACACTTGAAACCGACGCAACAACGAACACATGTCTTTGGGTATCTTATCAAAGCCGCTGACTTGTTACCGAGGATACACAACGCGAGTATAAATTTGCTTCGACAGCGTAAATTGCCGTTGGTGTTGGATTTGGATGACACGCTGGTGAGAATGATTGGGAGTATGAAGGGAAATTTGAGTGTTGAACAAGCTGCGAGAGGTAAAGTTTATAAAATGATAAGGACTATCTTCCAGGTTTTGTTTTGTTGCCGACATGTCGTCTTTGTGCCTAGTTGAGCCATCACGAATCGCAAGACTACGTGACGGGAGGACTATAGTTCTAGCAGAAGACGTTTATGCCTTTCTGGACTGGGCCAAGAAGTGTGTCGTTTGACATTCCAAAGCCTCCCCTTCCCCGTCGGTCTCACAACTCACTCTTTTTAAATAGCTTATTCGAAGTCAGTGTCTGCTCATTAGGCCAAGAAGACTATGTCCATATGGTCATTGACGTCCTTGATCCAGCCAGAAGTCGTATAGCAAACCGATATTCAGCACGCCAGGAATTTCTATTCCTTGGTGGGAAAAGGCCGCCCAAAGATTTGACAGCGATTTATCCCTTTTTGTGGAAACGAGAGTATGGCCGTGAACCGGTTGCAGACGCTCTTATTGTTGATGATAACGGGAGTATGTGGCAGAGGTGTCAACAAGATAATATTATTGTGAGTTTGTCTGATATGATGCACGAGTCGGGGGTTTTTGAGCCAATATGCATATGATGGGCCCTTAAGTCTAGCCAAACTCACAGTTTCTTGTTCATAGATTGTTCGCGAACAGACTTCAGCCAACGTATGGAATGTATCGCTACAGACCGTGAAACAAGTGTTGAGCTCGGTACATACAGAATTTTTTCGTTCTCTCGATGCTTGGCACAATAATGGTAGAATGGACGACACACCAACTGTCACCGGTTGTTACAAAGATTACCTGAGACGAGAACTGACCGCTAAGATTGCCGCCGCCATTCAATAAATTTGGTTGAAGCTACAGATGGATTTATAATTGTCTTTTTTTGTATGTAAGAGCGGCCTCATCGCAAAATCTATTTAAATTAGTTATCATATGTAAAAGTAGAAAGCATATACGATATTCACATATGATGAGGGTGAACGAAGCGACGCATAATCATAAATTCCTCTGATCTACATATCGCTGCAACGCCTGCTTCAAATCTTCCAGCGTTGCCGGCTTTGACACAAAATCCTGCATCCCAACCCGATGGCACCTAACTCGATCCTCCCAGAATGCATTTGCAGTCAATCCAATAATCCATGGCGCAACTCCGTCCATACACCGAGATCGTATAGCTAGCGTGCATTCATATCCATCCATCCGCGGCATTGTAATATCCATCAGTACCACCTCGTACTTGTTTGGATTTGCTTGAATCATTTCGTAACCCTCCGCACCATCGTTTGCTATAGTTATGTCTGGTATGCGTTGGCCGAGCCGCGTCAGCATTTTGGTTATTACCAGTTGATTTATGGTGTTGTCTTCGACAACGAGGATTCGGAGGGGTGGAATGGTGGTGTTGGGCATAGACGACGAGGAGAGAGCTCGGATGGGTGCTAGTGGTGGTATCGGAGACTTGTTTGTAGGAGTCGGTAGCGGCAGCGGGGCAATACTAGTGGAAGGAGCAGGAGACTTGGGCTGGCTAGACACAGTAGAGACAGTCACAGGTACACTACATATGTCTTCTACGAATCGTGCAGGCTGACTCGATTTCAACAGCCGTCGTGTCAGTAATGCTCTCTTGCTTACTGGAAGTGTTGTTGCGGGATTTGGGCCTCGTGGCTTGTGGGGTACAAATCCGTTTAGTAGCTGGATACGAGAGCGATACACTGCGATCAGGCACTTTAGAAGATTTACGTTACATGTGCTTGGATCTGCGGGCATGCTGATGCCGTGTAAGGGTATGCGAGCGTGCAAGAGCTCTTGCAGAGTGGTACATGAACGTGCCTGTAAGCTCGATGAGCAATGCCATGCTAGAGACAAGTGTATTTAAACAGATTTAGAATACAATTCGAAACCGTTATTGGAAAATGGACGTACCAAGTTGTTTTAGACCATATTGAGAGTTTGGATTCGAGTCAACAATGCCGATTATTGTATTTTTACACTTGCGCTCTGGTAGTGCAGGCAAAACTGCGACACGCGTCTCCCATTTTGCTGGCCGATACTCGTTCAGATGTATCACGAAATCGAAATGAGTCCTGCGTTCAGTCAGATATGGGCAAGCATTTATAGAATGTCCCATGTACCTGATTGAACGGAATTGATTGTTAGCTGAGATAAAACGAGAGAAGTTTTAATCCGCATACTGGCACGGAGTGTTCGAGATCCCTAATCCAGGAGCAGTTCCTCCGTATCTTCGTGTCTGGCTCTGAGAAACCAGTAGCTTATTTGCGTTCACGGCTTTCACGATGCCTTGCTGTTTCTGCGGCGTATGCATTACGAAATGGTGTCTGAAATTATGCACGCTGTCTTGAAAGAGCTTCATCTAATGTTTTTGGTAGAGGTTGGGAGAGTCAATTTGAGGGAGACAGAGACATGCAAAACTGTTGAATCAATTCATACATCGTTGAATTGGCCATCTAAGATGAGTTCGGCGCGAAGCCTTTCAACTATGTGAGTTTCGATTGACTTGACATATCTGTTGGGTTGGATTATAAGGTTTGTTAGACACGAGACAGGATCGAACGAGAAGGTGACTTTTCTAAAGACATACTTTGAATAAGCTCGAGAATGTTGGACTGCAAAGCGCAGCAACAGAGCCGTAAAATAAATGAAAACAACACACAGTAAGTTCAACAAGGCTAGGACAAACGCAAAGAAATCGGTATAAGATAAAATGGGGTCTGGTCAACAATCTGGAGATAAAATCAACTTGCATTATTATGGATACATACTGGTGCCATGTTTGGATGAGCATGTTGCGCTCATGGTCAGAACTCCGGTGTCTGGACACAGTATTTGCCCCACATTGTATTCAAGAATATACTCCTGAATTAATGGACTGGCGTGATACACGGCTTAACCAAGAGACATTCAAATCAGCTTGATGTTTTCATATGTGCTCGTCGAGAAACACTCTTACCAGAGTAGAGATTCTCAGTCGTGTTGCCACTGCCGATTGTAGTAGGCACCGAGATCCGCCTTGCTGGCGGCGTGCTGTAAACCACAATTGGTTCTCGATCCCATTGCGCCGGGATCGATAGCCATACAAGCAGTATACTGCAGTTAGCAGCAGCAGCAACAAGATTCAATTCACCACACACCATTTCTGATCAAACAAGAAAACAGCAGCGAGAGAGGTGGGAAGAGACTGAGTGATGTAATTTTTGCAGATCAAAGGAAAATGATCTATTGCAGCTCTCACAAAGCGATGCAAGTTAGCGGGGGTTTCAGACAGGAGAGCCAGAAGACCTCTCAGACATTCGTCATTCCGTTGCGTAGCGGGACCGTTGCGGTCAATGGTCCTATGGAGCTTTGGCTTCCGAGGGATTCTTTTCCATCTCGCCATTGAGATTGCTTGCGTCGATTATGTTGTTTGTTTTACCCTTCTTGATCCTCACTTGGCTGAGAGTAATAGGCCGATGGAGTTTTGACCTGTTCCTCATACAAGCAAGTCCACTAGTATACAATTGATATGCAACTTCCCTTTTCTTAATGGCCCATTTCTTAATGGACGCAAACTTCCAAAAGAATTGACGGAAACTAGTGAAGAGTATGCCAGTTGCTAAAGCTGTTACGTGAATGACAGTGGGGCGACGTGGAGTTGCTGAAGCTGTTACGTCCATGATAATAGAATTCCATTGCAGGGAAAATGCCGCTGAGATTTGGTCTAGTTCGGTTATCGTGACACTGACAAAGAATTCGGATACATTGCACGGACGCGCCTCAATTGTTTTCACACGCATTACATCAAGTTGAGCAAAAAGAGACCATATTCACATATATTGAGGGTAAAAGAAAGGGGTGTCTGGGTTTCTATGACATTCCCAGCATTTTCTTCCACCACGGACGCGATGCGTAAGCTATTAGGTGTCGACAGTCCCACAGTTTTATAAGTTTATCAGCACCTCCAGAGTATAGGATATTGTCGAATACTTTGATGGAATGTATGGTATCTGTGTGGCCTTCCAGTATAGCTGTACAGTCTCCGGTCTAAGAAGAGGTCAACGATTACTTTATCTCAATGTGTTGATACCAACCAAAAGGCTTTTTTTGCTACTGTGCTTACATCAATTCTCCACACACGAATCGTCTTGTCCTTGCTACCACTAAAACACAGACCGCCAACTACTTGCAGGCACTTTATGGCTTCTGTGTGACCTTTGAAGACTTTGATTGTTTTGCTTGTCTAGATTGAGCAAAGGAGAATGTGAATCCTAGCTTCAATGACTGCATACGCAGATATCGTTACCCTGGTATTCCAAACACGAATAGTGCAGTCCGATGACCCACTGTATAAATAGTCACCCTTCTCGTCTAGTTGAAGAGCCTGGACTGCGTCTGTGTGGCCTTCGAGTGCTGCTACTGCGTCTCCAGTCTAAATGACGTGGTTTGTGTTAGAACCACAAGAAAACAGGCACATGACAGTATAGTGGCGAAGTCGTACTGCTCGACTCCACTTGATAATGGTCATATCATCACTTCCCGAGTATACTTCTGTATCGTTCACATCTATACAGCTAGAAAAATGCTGTTGGTCAGAGAAACTGCATATCCATCATGACGGTTCATCAACACATACTTCACAACATTTTTGTGCCCACGAAACACATGCATAGCCTTCCCCGCATCCAGATTAAAAGACCTCAACGTGGTATCAACAGATCCAGAAAACACTCTTCGGCCTCTTACTCTCAAGCAAACAACATTTCCAGTATGTCCATGCAATGCGGTGACTTGAACACCTGACATCAGATTCCACCCTCGCACCGTTATGTCTCCCGCGCTGACGACATCTACAACAGGATGTCTTGAAACGGTTGAATCTCTGTCTGGTGAAGATGTGGGTATGGACGAGGCCGACATGATTTCGAGAGCGAATATTTCGCCGGCGTGACCAGCGAGTTTGGTTTTGGGTATTGCTGTACATTGTAATTCTTCCTTGCTTGAGGGAGTAGGTGAGATTTTGACGTCCCATATATACATGTTTTGATCCTTCGAGCCTAGACAATCGCAGGTGTAAGAGGACTTCACTCGGCATTCGTGCGGAGCTCTTCACCAAAAATACAAACATACCGGACACCATGGTTATGACCTCCTCATCAACATTGTTGTTTCCGGGTGCAACCTTCCTCTTTGACTTGCCAGTCTTTTTAAGTCTGCTGCATGGTATATGCCCACACTTCCAATAAGCGTCAATGGCATACACACTATCCGAGTTGCCAGAGAAGCTTGCAATGCATGAAACGGGCTGCAATTTGGTAGGCATCGTGCGCTTGAAAATGTTGTTGCGTATTTGAAATGTCGATGCCTTGATTTGGATGGTAGCGGTTCTTGAAGGTGAAAGCTTGGCACGATCCCAGGTGATCCGGTTTTAGCTACCTCTGTATTTTACCAAGTTTCGACAAAAATGGCACTTGCTGACGTTTGATTGAATCCCAACCCTGCTTGCAAAGCGTCTGGAAGTCACGGTGTCTTTCAGTAGCCAATCGGTCATCTCCTTGGTACCAGTGTTGAGGAAGCACGATTTAGCATGAGACGAACGGGTTGCGGTGAGCAAAAGGTGGTGTGGTGTGTCATTTCTCTGACAATTCAACTTGTTGGCAAAATGTACAGGTGTAAAGGTTGGTCAGATTCGAGTCGGTAAAATAAGGAAAATCGTGCATAATTCATGGATTATGATAATTTTTGGATCAATTGAGGCATCATCCCTTGAAACTTGCTGGATATCACGTTTCATGAATGTTTTTGGTTTTGAACGAAAGACAAGAAGGATTGAGCTACGCGTACAGTAACATTAATCGTGAATATACATAATCGTAAGAATCGTAAGGATTCGATATACTCAGATACGAACTCTCTTCACTTCACTGTACTCTCATATGGTTTGTCATAGCTTATCAAAGCAGCAGACATCCATTCAACAAAAGCACTTTATCGAACGAATCCATCGGCAAATATGGTATGTAGGAGAGAAGGGAGACGCCCGTTGATAGTGTATATGCATGCATCGTCACGGAATTCATCTACTTGCCCTGAAAATCTGTTAACTTTCCTTGATATTGCAAGCTTGTCAGCAGATGCAGCATTTTCATGTAAAGCTAACACACTTTAACATGAATTAGGGTATCGATATTAGGAAGCACCATATACGAAACAGTCACAGGGAAGAACCCAAGAGTCAAGATGTTTATCTTCGATTATTGGTCAAGGTGAGACGAGCATCTGGACATCACTTAGAAAACATGCAAATGTTGGACGACACTGTTGGAGAGAGAGATCATACAGCAGACACGACCATTGAATTATGAATTGCAAACTCTACACTCCTACTTGTCGTTCCTCTAACTCGTACACCACAATAATCTAGTTGTATCGATTCTTGGCTCGAAGAACACCATCCAAATTCAACAAGGTCATCCTAAAACGTCTCTTCATGTCTCGAGTCAACAAACCACCACTATCCTTGTCTCGTCTCGCAGAATTCGCTGAAGGAAAAACAAACAAAATCTGTGTACTAGTAGGAACCGTAACAAATGACGAACGAATGTTGACGATTCCCAAATTGACCGTATGTGCTCTACGAGTCACTACCACTGCTCGTGCCCGTATCATAAAGGCTGGTGGTGAAGTATTGACCTTTGACCAGTTGGCATTAAGATCGCCATTGGGAAAGGGAACTCTCTTGTTACGTGGTCCAAAGAACGCTCGTGAAGCCGTAAGGCACTTTGGCGCTGCTGGCAAACCTGGATCTTCCGTCAAGTAAGCATCGTGTCTGTTGTAGTGCTGTGGCATTGTGATGATTTGGTCGTTTCCTGACATTCGTTGTCATTGTAGGCCTTTCGTCCGCTCTAAGGGACGCAAATTCGAAAAGGCACGTGGAAGACGTGCAAGTCGTGGATTTAAGGTCTAGGCGACCTTGTATAAAAAAGAGCAGTTGTAATACACCAATAAAAACCTTTCACAGCCGAAATCTATCTTCCCGTCGCAAGACAAACATTGAGGAAGCGATTTTCTACAATCGAAAATTCTTTGTGTATATACCTTGCCTACTCTTAAGTGATATACGCACGAAGGCCTACCATATTCTGAAATTGAGGTGACTTGCATCCAATCCAACTTCAACCAAAGATCGGTAGGGTAATATCTGTTCGTGATTCCAGTGTGCAATGAACTTTTCAAAGAATGGTCTTGATCAAATGATGCAACCTCGAAACTCTCTTGGTAGTGCATGTACTATATTAATAAATCAGATTGAGACCTTGCAATAAGAAACTAGATGAGAATTGGATATTTAAAAATTTAGAGGCAATCAATGTTTGTACAAGCAGTCTTTTCAGGAGGGCGTTTGTTTTACGCCAATCCATAGAATTCTCTTCTGTGTTTTGGTAGTTAGCACCCTTTTCTGGCTATTGTACAAGACGTTTCAATTCAATACGTGTCCTCGCTTTCTGCAATGCATCAGCTAGCCCACTTTTAGCCCTGAACGCTACAGATGACTCATCAATGCATTTGAGACTCTCCATAGCAAAGTCGGCCATTTTAAGTAGATGCTCCTGTCCAGGGAGGCAGGCTAAAGTAGCGAGTGCCTTATTGGGTATGGTAGTCGTTTTAGTCAAGAAGGGCCTATAGCATCCAAATATGTGGCAAATCAAACTCACCGATCCAGCAATACATGGCATGAAATGCGCAGACTCGGAGATGGATTCCCATTTGGGATTATGAGGGATGATGGTATATGAAAGGATTTTGCAAATGCTTATACAAGCATGTTTCACGATTGCGACACTGGGATCTAATACTAGATCCTCGGCGGTCTTGGTCTTGAAGGCAACAATCACTTTCGGTCTACGAGATTCGGTTAATGGGGTGCAAAGTGTTGGCACTTGCGAACTTTAAAACGTGTTTCCCTCACTTGTTCAGGTCCACAAAGGCTGCATGATACAACATATTGACAAATACAATCGACCATAGATCTGATGGGGTCATGCCCGTGTACATTGCTGCCAGGAACTTTAGGGAGTTATCAAGTCTGTACTCTGCTGGCAGTCTAGACATGAATTTCTGAAGTCGACATTCCATTAGAGGGTAAAAGTCAAGATACTAGTGCGGATGACATATGAGCAGTCTGTGGGAAGTATGAATGATGCAAGAACAAAGCTAACAGACCTCTAAGGCCAGCCCTCTCTCATAATCGTTGACGGGAAATTCTGTGTGTGACTTTCCTGTGGGAGGAACTTTTTAGTTCCAGCTCAACTTTTGACAAGTAATCTGCAGCGATTTCTCTTACCTCGAAAAGAGTCAACCAAGCCAGCCCACGAGTCCACATTATACAGACACGAAACTCGGGTCGTTAAAGCTTTCAGCATACATATTTGAGCGGTTGCCTATATTGTGCTCAATTTAGACCATGAAAAAATTACCCGCGCGTGCTTCAAATAACAACATACCTGAAACAGATCCATGTATTCCCTCTGCAAAGGCGAAATGCTGTTTTCGCCAGTTGCGGGGTCAATCGCTGACCATAGAGAGTCTGGCGAAGGGACGTTGACCGTCTCGTCGTGTATCAGACGATGGGGTTGTCTGATTGTTAAAGGCATTTGGCCTTTTGCGGATGACACCACAAGGTCAGAGGTTGCCATACTACTCAAGTAAAATGTACTGTCAGAACAACGAAGTTGACATCGCTTTCAAGTAGACATACCAGTACCACAGCCTGCGTCTCGTTTCCTTTTGTAAGGATGTAAGACGCCGTATTTTTCCTTGCCGTATCAAATCGTCTGGGTCTTCATCAAGTCTCAGATACATCATCATGAGCATAGAAAGATTGTGAAATTGCGAGACTCCTAGTATAGATACCGCTCTGTAAGCAACTGAACATAAACCAAGACTGATTATACCAACTTGCCCTTTCCGATCTCAAATGCGTGAAACGCCACAATAGCTAGACCCTGGACGGCTTCAACAGAGGGATTTTCGATGGCATTGGGTAGCAGAGAGCGCATTTTCCGCACAAACGGCCACGCACGTTCTGATGGAGTAGCGCCCAGAGCTAAAACAGCCGGCTGCGTCGATGACAAGGCACCCACAGCAAATATAGCGTTGGCTAGTATGGGATTTACGTTGCCTGCCATTGTCATCCAACTTGGTTTGTGAACGGTGCTGCACACACGCTTCGGGGATTTGTGAGTGACGAAACACGTCACGAGTTCCCTCATATCAACGGCGTCCAATGTCTCGAGTTGAACTATTTGAAATGCAATATGAATCAGGGTGCGTAATTGAGGCGATAAACATTTTATGCGAGAAACCTTACCTTGTCGTGGTATGCAGTTCCGCCTAACGGAGAGTACTGATGATACGGCTTTCGGCGAGCCCGAAGGACTGTTTGATGCTGTTCTTCGACCCAAGGCTGAAGTAGGAGAATTCTCACTAGGACTGGCCACACTTGGTTCTTGTTTGACGTTGACCAACAAGTCGTCCAACCGGGCAAGCCGACTCTTCAATTCATGCACATCTAAGTAGAGGGACACATTTAGATACAGAGGGCGATTGCAAGCTAGATCCAACTCGTACAGGTGACTTCGTCAATCTTTTGACCCGAGGATCCTACAGAGTTTCGCTCCAGACGGGGGCCCCAAGTACAGTGCGTTCCAGCTCTTCGACATGATTCACATATTGGACGGCCACCGGAGCACTAGTGGGCAAGAAGATGGGTTTGTAAAAAATAAGACACTTTCTGGGACAAAAAACTTTGATGATGATAAACAGTGGCAACATGCGAACGATTGAGACGAAAGGCGAGCAGAGGCGAACGGAGCATCAGGATGGGGCTGTCGGGATCACATAACTTACAGCTCTTTTCTTCATCCGACAACGATGACAAGCCTGCAAGTGAAAACGTCATCCATGGTTAGAGACTGATACCAGATCCTCCCTGACAACAACCACGATGCCAGTGCCATACCTCATGAATCTTCGCACGCTGCTTCTTGGATCCACCTTCCATCAACCCGAACTACCTCCCTGTCAAATTTAGCAGTTTTCTACAGCAAGTTTGATTGCGGTGGATGGACCTCCGTGAGTTGCTTCTAGCCCCATTGAACCTGAATTGAACCCCTCAATGCGGGTTTGGCCGACTTCAAGATCAGGGTCAACTGGCTCTAGATTCAAGTGACTTCAGGCTCCTAGATCTACACTACTCGCAGACACCTTGCCAAACACCGTCCAAAATGGACGCGTTTGCCATTGACATGCCACGCACATAACGAATACGTACCACTTCTCCGACAGTGACAACATCGAGATCCAAATACTATTTTGGTATGAAAATTACTCGTATGGGTGCATTTGGCCATTCATGCGCGACCGTCTATAGAACGAAACACGGCTCTACCCCCAACCACAGACGCAAAGTGACAGGCAACGCAGGAGAAGCCCGCAAAGTCATAAATCTATTGTATCACGAAGTCTAAATCTTCTTCTCTTTCCTAGATCCTCTGCCTGACCAACACCATACAATGAGGCTCTGTGCTCATCGTTCTGTCTGTCATCTCTCTCATTTCATTCGGATTCGCCGCCGAGAATCATGCTTCAATGCCAGTACCTGACATTCTCAGCAAAATTAAAGCTGTTCGACACCGTGCAGTATGCTATCATCTGTTTGCATTCAATCATGAAACCCCATCGCAGCTTTCGATTAATGACATACTTCTTATTAGGAAACGACGTTCGATGCAACATATATTACCTCAGATACTGTGAACTCACGACTGGTTGGCGGGTCTTGTAAGGTGGAATTCGTCAGCTGCCAAACAACGAGACATAACAGCTTGTCCTGGTCGACTTCCACTCAGAAATGAGGCATCAGGCCACTGCAAAAGCTTCTACTTGTCCTGAAACGGCATGTCACGTTTGAGGAAGTTATGGCACCACCAGACCTTGTTATGCCCTCCCAGCTCTTGCGCGCTATGGGGTAAATACTTGCTGAAAAGCCTCTGCTACGAGACTTGAATAAAGGGCGATCTCACAGACAATTATCTCGCTCAGGACTTAACATGGACTCGTTGTAGATAGAGTTCGATATGATACGGCTCGCCTTGACCATTATCTAGTACGAGAGAACTCGCTGCCTCCCGACGAACGTCAGGATATCAGCTTCTACATCGAGTCTATTCAAGCCGTCAGTGTTTCTCAAGCAGCGCTGGTCTGAGAAACCGTCGTTCCTGGTGTCAGCACAACGCCGGAGTTGCCACTATGAGCATGGTGAATGTTTATGAAACTTGTTACAAAAAACCAAGGATTATGTTGATGACAAGGCCATGTTTTAGTGATGATCAACACCACAAGGAGGCCCAGAAATGATCGAAGGAAATGTTTTCATGAAATTCACAGCCTTCTTTCTCCTCCTGCAACGGTGACAAGCCTGGAAAAAAAAATCAGATGAATTCAATTTAGCGACAATAGTGGCGATGCGCTTCGACTGTCAGCAATCAAGCATCATGTACCTCTCCTACTCGAGTTCTAGTTCTAATGGTTTTCCTAGATCCAACCTGCATGGCTCCGAACTAACAAAACAAACACATATGTTTTGACTGATTGAGAAATTTGGGTGCGAGAAAAAGATAGACAAGGCACGACAACGGCAAGCCAAAATCAGAACGTGCTTTGTCTGACAGCAGCCTAGAACGTGATAACGGATACCAGCTGAACAGTTCTTCCTAATAATATGGATTTTCAAAATTCCGGGGGGCACAAAATAACGTCTGCCTTCCGTACAGACCAAACCTTTTGTAAGCTCAGAGTAGTTTTACTATTTGGCGAGTTTTTGCAACAAGATCGAACGTCTGTTGCGTGAGAATTAGCTTAGTGAATGCAGAAAACGTAACATTGGGTAATTGGGTAAAGGTACGCGTTTACCGATTCAAACTCTTTGAACTTGAATGACATGTGAGGAACCAAACATTTCCAACCTTCTATTTCATTTCTTTGACTTTTGTGCTCCTGTGTGCTATTTTGCATTGGTTGTCAGCCGCCGCTTCTGACAAGACCATTTGCTAATCAATTAGAGACGCAAAGTGACAGGTCTGACAGTTCAGGCAACCTTACAATCAATCAACAGACCACCGACTGTACTAACGAGATTTACTGCCTTTTTTAACAATAGATATCTTCCTGAACAACAAAAACGTAGAGATGAAGGTTTTTCTGCTCATCATTCTGTCCATCATGGCGATCCTTCCTTCTGGATTCTCGCTCAAAGACTATGGAGCTATGGCAAAATCTGACATTTTCAAAGACATTCAGCGTCTTCGATTGTGGACAGTACGAGAAACACACCCTTCAAAACCCAAAACATCAAAACATTCAACTAGACGTCTCTTCGCTTCTTAGGAGTCCAGGTTTAATCCAAGACGTCTTACCAAATCAATGGTGGAAACACGATTGGTGAGACGTTTCTGCAAGGTGCTGACAATCTGTCAATCTTCTAAAAACAACGACTTGTACAATCTAGAAAGGAGGCATCAGGAAAATACGAGAACTTCCCAAAGCACTGGAACCTCATTTCACCTTTGAGGAAGTCATGGAAAGACCAGATCCTGATATGCCATCTACACTGATGAAAGCTATACAGTAAGACACTCGACGTTTCATCTTTGACCCTAATCAGAGTTTGCCTTGACGATTGTAGATCCTATCATGGACTTGTTTTGGATAAATCTCGTCATGATATTGCCAGACTCAACCACTATCTAGAACGAGAACACGCACTTGATGACGACAAACGTCAGGAGATTACCGAACACATCGTGGCAATTCGAGACATTAGGTTTTATCATTTAGTGCTGGCTGTCTTGTATGGAATGGCTGCTCGCACAAAGTTTGCTGTTGAATTGAATGGGGGTTTGGCACCAGTAGTGAATTATGTCAATGTAATTCAACCAGCTCCTCCAGTTGCAATCAACGATGTGGCACCAGTCAATCTGCCGGAATACGATGAAATCTCTATTGGATCGTACTATATAGAATCCGATGATACTGATAATGATATGGACGATGACCATACTTCAACATTGGGCAACAGTCTCATTGATGCACCCATGGAACGTCATGTCGACGCCACGAATGATCAAACACGTCAAGTACCTGTAAATGTCCTGTGTCGTGCTGAAGTATATGAAGCTGGTGGTAGTTATCGACGCGGTCTGGGTACTGGTGGACTCAATCCAGAACTTGGTCAACCATCACATAATTGCCGTATGGAGTCTTTGAGCATCTCAAAGACACTTGGAAGTGATCGCGATAGAGGGATTGTAGGTGGTCATACATACTCATTGGGAGAATCTTCTGGTCTGGGGCCAGCCCATAAACGAATAAAATTCACAGACTCAGACTGATGTATTGGAAAGACTAAACATATGCAAAAAGATCACAACACATATAGAATGCAGTCGAATATTTGGAATCTTTAAATCCTTGGCAAAAATAGACATATCAATATCCACAGTCGATCCTGGAGTTTCTTTACGTACTTCAACTGGCAAATAGAATACGTGCATACGTCTTGGAGCATTCTTGCCTCACGCAAGCTTGAAATAAGATTTATATGACGTGCAAAAAAGTGAGGGGCTTTACGAGACGCGAGGTCCCGTTTCGTCTCATTTTCATTAAGCGATCGGTTTCCAAAGGACTCAAATCGTTTGTGTTTGCACATTTACCACCACTGTTGATGCTACTTAATATACCTTAAGGGCGACAAGTCCTCACCACCTGTTGCAAAAACACCAAAAGTCCTTAACTTGGTCAGCGTGAATGAACGGCTCTTCAATCATATACAGACAGTGTCAATTAAGCGTTCCAAATTGGATCCCACTGCTAAAAATGCGCTATTCCAGACGCAATTAGGTTATTCCGATGCCAGCGTCAACCCTCGCAAAACTCTCAGAGCGCTTTTCTTAGGAAATAAAATTGATCAACGTCTTAGAGTTGCCCGAAGGCAAGTGGCAGAACTTGTTCGCAGACACATATTCGAATGATAGCACTAATTCGCAAAGCCCCTTAGTAATTTAGATTATTCCACCTGCTCCCACATATGGTGGTGTCAAACAAGATGAGGTCGGTTTTGGTGCTCCTTCTAGCTCTCATCGCTCTCATTCCGTCAGGATTCTCGGATGAAGTTGAGGATCGTCTTGGAAAAGAACTTACCAGAAAGATTGATGGTCTCAGACATGGGCTGGTAGGAAACAGTGATATTTGGAAGACAGATTACATAAATAGAGTATCTTACCTCTCCGCTTTACAGGTTACTCAGAGGGTAAAGACAAAACTCACCAAGGGTATAATTGATACGCTGCTGGTAAGTCTGCTTTGGCCAACAGAGCCAACTTTGAAATGTAGCTAATCCAAGACACACTTCAAACATATTCCTACCACTAGTCTACTAACCGAGTGAGGGACCTGCAAAAGCTCCCAGCAGCACTAAAACGCTTCTACAGCAAAGACGTCGTTATGAAGGAGCTGCCAGACTTAAACATCGCCCCAACAGTCCTCGGTGCTTTTGGGTAAGCTCTTCGTCTCCATAATTACTTGAACTTCAGACTATCATACCAACTCCTTACCAAATCCAGGTCCTATCATGCATTGGTCGTAGAAAAATCGGAATTCGATACGTATAGAATCAACTTTTACTTGGGCACACAACCTGTCCTGACTCCACCACAACAAACTCAAATAATAATTAGACTCTATGCTCTCGAAAGTCTCAGACACCGTCATAATCGATTGGCTAAAGCCTATGGTGTCGCTGCTCTCGCGCCGAACCGAATCTTGGCAGCAGGATCGTATATTTTAGGAGACGAGCATCAAGGAGATTCTTCCTGTGTAGCAAACCCTCAGGATGATGTAGATGTGCCCGAATACGATGAGATATCTATGGGTGACTCAAATGTCGTACCTTCCGATGATGCGGGTGTCGAGACAAGCTCAGACACACCTGGTCTAATTGATTTCTTCGATAAAGGGAATAAAGGTGTAGCTGACTTCAGCGCCGAGCAGTTTGAAAACGTACTGACTCGCGCCGAAGTAAATAAGCATGGTGCTGACCAAGTTGATCTAGCACTCGGTACTGGTATTGATCGAGCAATTGGTCCATCGCCACGTGATATTGAGTCAATAAGTGGATCAAAGAGATTAAGAAATGAGCATGATATGGGTAGACAAGATCATCAGTCAGTGATGATGGGAGAATCTTCTAGTCGTAGATCAGACGAAAAAAGGCTTTGGTTGACATTGGGATAAAACACTCACCACACAGTAGACGACGACTATACTATAGTAGATCTCATCACAAATAGGCGCAAACAAGGTGGCAAACGCCAAGTCACAAATACAAATTTCACGTAGAATCACATGTTAAATTATGTGTGCTTGAAACAGGTGGTTGCTTGTAAGCCTCCGATCTGTACACTGCACAACGACAAATCCAAGTAATCTAGCCTTTATCATGTCCGCAGTGGTGCGTGTCCTCGTATTCGTTCATTGAAAATCATCACCAGTTTGAAAAACATTACATATTCCATTTGAGGTCAACCATACTTGCGAGAATTGATGGAGAGAAAAGAATCCAACTCAGTGGCTCCCCGCACATTCTCCAACCAGTCCAAGCTCCCTCGCCTTCCTATACCCTCCCTCGAAGAAACCACTGACAGATATTTAAGAACGTTGCGACCACTCTTGACAGATGAAGAATATGGCAAATCGGTCGAAAATGTGCAAGACTTTATACGTCCTGGTGGAATCGGTCACGTCTTGCAGGACCGTTTAAAAGCTCGGGATAAAAAAGAAACAAATTCATGGCTAGAACGATGGTGGTTTGAATTGGGTGAGTGATGGAACAGGTCCCCATGGGAATCAACGCTAATTATATATTTTTCGAAGCCTATCATTCATGGCGTGAGGCATTACTTGTCAACTCTAATTGGTTTATCGTAACTCGAGGTAAAACATGTGCAAATTGGAAGCGTGTCGATCGTGTGTCAAATGCATAACATGTGCTTAAAATCCCTATAAAGACCATCCCAACACTCCCAAAGAACTCATAACGGAAGGGTCTCCTGCTCGCAAGAACGGTCAAACAACTGCGTGGCAAATCCGACGTGCCTCAGAAACAATTTCGGCAATGCTAGACTACAAGGATTTGTTGGATCACGAATTGTTGCCACCAGAGGGTAGTCGGGCTGGCCCAATGTGTATGAATCAATATCGCTTGATGTATGGTATCACTAGAGTCCCGAAGCCAGGTTGTGATGTGTTGGTTGGCTCACATCCCGCACCAGCGAGACACATTATAGTCCTGATACGAGATCAGATATATGCTGTTGATGTGGTTGATGAACGTGGGCGCATATCGATTGAGGATATTGAAAAGTAAGTTCGAAAAAAAAAGGCGATTATCTGGTTTTAAGTCATGACGTTTCAGCATGTCAGAGTTATACAGTCTGTCTGGGATGATGAATCGATGAATAGAGAATTGAAGTGGCATGTACGTCTCACCCAATTGACACTCGGTTCTCTTACTCTACTTTAGGCAACTTCAGAAGGCTGTTCGAGATTCTACAAGCACTAAAGCAGAACCGGCTGTTGGTCTACTCACATCAGAGCATCGTGATACTTGGGCTCAAGTAAGTTAATTGAAATGGGCCCAGTCGTCCTGCTCCTAGTTGCGCACACCTCTTTCTGGTCGTTAGGTACACAAACAATTAGAGGACTTGTCTCCAGACAATCAATACTCCTTCTCAGTCATCGAATCGGCACTCTTCGCTGTCTCACTAGACGACTACTGTCTGCCACTCACCACTGACAACCTCAGCAAAAGCACCTTCCACGGAATGACCGCACACAATCGTTGGTTTGATAAATGCATGTCTGTATGTGTAATGAACGATGGTCGTGTCGGCCTCATGGGAGAGCATTCCCCTTGCGATGCTCTCATTCCAGCTACAGTATTCGAGTATGTCGCCAACCATGAACCTGTCCAGGACCCAAAGAACGTGGTTTCGAAACCTGATTTGAGAGCTCCCATGAAGATGACATGGAAGGTTGATGCTGCTGTAATAAAAGCTATTGATGTGGCAGGGAAGAGTGCGAAAAAGATTATTGATAATAGTGATGTTACCGTTTTGAGATTTACCGAGTTTGGATCTGATTTTGTTAAAAGTAAAGGTATGTACTTGTAGTGAATTCCATGCGCAGCTTTATTAGTGCCATGATGTTTAGCATACTTGTGCCTTTCAATAGCCAAGGTTAGCCCTGACGCATTCAGCCAAATGGCCATGCAACTAGCCTACTATCGTATGCACAAACTTGTGACTGCAACATATGAAACGGTCTTGACTCGTAAATTCCTTCATGGACGAACTGAATGCTGTCGATCATGCAGTGTTGATAGTAAAGCCTTTTGTGTTTTGATGGATGATCAAACTGTCACTGTAAGTCCGTCATGTCCCGAAGTAGTATTTTCCCAAACTCAACACCATTGTCATATTAGGCATCTGAGAAACTGGCAGCACTCAGAAAAGCGTGTGATTCTCATGTAGAATACGTTACCGCTGCCTCTAATGGGAAGGGCGTCGATCGTCATTTGATGGGTTTACGAGTGCTGATGCAAGAAGGAGAAAGTGCTGCTATATTTAAAGATCCAGCATACTCGAAATCAAACGACTTTAGACTGTCTACGTCGGGCCTGTTTCCTGGAGAACGAATGCTTGGAAGTGGGTTTGGAGCTGTCTGTGAAGATGGCTATGGAATCAATTACATGGTTAGTTTCGTTTTGACTCCTTCCTAAAAAGCGAAAGAACCATAGCTGTTTTTTGTTTATTCCGTGATTGCTGAGAACCTTTTCACATTAGGTTGCACCCAAACTGATCAAGTATGGGATCGAATCTAAATTCTCGTGTCCTCAGACGTCGTCCAGCAAGTTTGCGAAACATCTGGCTTGTGCTCTTATTGACATGAAGACGCTCTGTGAGACGGAAACGAAACTGTAAAGTGTCTTGCACTTCTCCGGTTCGTGTCTTGTTAGCTATGAGGGACAACTTCAAACAATACCCTTTTTTGGAACAATCTTGTAATGTATACCCCTCTGAAAACAATTAGTTTAGGTGTAAATAGGTCCAAAATTGCGATTGAATCGATGTGAACGCTTTTAGAAGATTCTCATGTTTTTCATGGAAAGAGAGAACGTGATCTACTATTGTCCGTCTTTCTATAATCTAGAATACCATAACATGTAATAACACGGACCTAATCTTGATACCATTCCCTCTTGTTCATCGTGTTGGCGTCTTGCTTCTACTGCGCTCACACCTATCACTTGCTGAACTATACATAGCTGAAGGATGAATAGTCAAAACATATTCAAAGATGCAAGGAACGCCAGATAAAAAACATCTTTCAACGTGCTCATCTTCACTGAATGGTCTGCTTGGTGGTGGAATTGCGTTTGGCGAAGTTGTTGACATTTGTGGTCCGCCAGGGGCAGGAAAGACCCAATTAGGGCAAGTTCGAGAATGATTCAATGTATTTGGAATCTAATGTGATATCTAATCTATTTATCTTGTCATGTAGAATGCAACTGGTTGCCAACACTCTCGCTCAACATTTCGAGTGTATTTACATTGGTACAGCACCTCGTCCTTCACGTCCAAATGAGCATTATTCAAATCTCATATACGTGATTTGTTACTTACATGAATCACGTTGCATAGATACGGAGGGAAGCTTGATGCTAGAACGTGTAGAAGCCATGCTTCGAGCTATATCGCCAGAATCAAACGATGATATCATCATGACGGAATTCATGGATGGAATTCACATATACAATGCATATGATTATCTGGAACAGGTTGCCGTTGTCGAGTTGTTGTATGAGTATATTGCCCAGCATCCAAAGGTACATTGACCGCAGTGTTTGCACGGGCAGAGTTGCGATGCTGTTTTATTGATTACATTTCTTGAATGCATTCAGATCAAGCTGATTGTCCTCGATTCGATATCGTTCCATACCAGACAAGGTGTCACGGACGTCTCATTGAGATCAAAACTTTTGCATGCCATGTCATCAAATCTAGTCAAGTGTGCTGAAAAGTACAAAGTAGCTGTATGTATCGTATATTTAACACTCGCCGATTGATTGTAAAGAATCTAATACTCCATCTCTTGCAGGTTTTAGTAACGAATCAAGTAACCACCAAATTCAACAAGGACAGCGCTTCAAAGCAACAGATGCCATCCGTGCTCGTACCTTCACTTGGTGACAGCTGGGGGAATGGATGTAATCAACGTGTTATAGTGTTCTGGAAGAATGGAATCAGGTATGTCCAACTACTGTTTGGATGACGGAAAAGCTTAGCTACAGGCCAACTATGAATACGCACTTACATTTCACATCTCACAATTGTTAGAACTGCTGTGCTGACAAAATCATCAAACATGCGTGATCAAACAGTCACATTCACAATCACTGCTGATGGGATTCGAGATGGAACTGTTAAAACACCAGAGCCATCCAGACCGAGATATACAAACCAGCAGCAATACCAACAAGGAGGGAGCCGGCATCAATCCATGTCTATATGAAGTTGTGGTTCATAGGAAATAATGTAAATGTCTGTTAAAAAGCTTTTCTTAATGTAGGTCCGTGTGCCAAGTATGTGTTATGGTGAGATGCTTCAATTCTAATAGGTCATATAAAGGATAGTTCTAGCATCCTAATATCAAGATATTTGGTGCGATTTGCAACTACATGTGACGAAGAACTACGATGCAGGGTATCAAGCATACTTGTGGCAGTTTCAGGCACTGCTGTGTGCTCCTTGCGCTCACTTTGCACCTCGTGTAGCGGAAATGTTGGCAGTGAAATGTTTTTGTTTGAAAATCTGAATGGCAAAATTGTGAGGCTGTACCCGAACCCTGCAATAAACCAATATTGCAAGAAATTCGATGCAATTTTTCTGTATATGCTGAGATCTACACTCCTACACTGTGATTCCTAGGTGGCTTATTCGAATGTCAATCGTAAACGTTTATGGGCAGATCCGACGTCTCCCGTCCAAAAAGACGGATGATTTTGTCTAGTCACATCATGCTCATCGATAGGCCTGTTTGAGCCACTCAATGATTCGGGACTGTTGTGTAATGGTCGACCAAGTGTCGGATCAAGTTGACCACTACCTGGCTCATTTACTGCTGAGCGCTCTAAAGCACGTCCAAGGTCTTGACGTGTATACACATTCAATCCGGCCAATTCAGAGCTTGGTTCCAAGCCACTCATACAAGCATCTGATTGTCGTCTGCTATGAAAGTTATTATCTAGAGGTGATGTGACGATACAAGTTAAATCATCCAGGAGGAGTTTTCGTTCGAGACACTCATCACTATATGGCTCAGTACCTTCCGAATCAGAATCATCCGAGAATAAGTCGTCTGGGACGTCAAGAGATATCTCATTGTAGTCTGGCGCTTCGACATCATCCACTATCTCGTCGGTTAATCTATACGAGATAGCGGCCTGCACATAAGCTTTGGCCTTTGGGCGATGAGTGTATCTGACATTTCTGACAATGTTGATTTGATCGATTATTCGGTTTCGTCGTGCTGTTGTCATACGAGGTTTGCGTTGCATATACGAGCGCAACCGGTGTGCATCATATCTTGATCGTTCTACGACCAATGAGTGATAAGATCTATATTCAAACGCTGGCTGTGCTTAAAATATATTGTTGGGTGAGTAATGGGGATTGCAAATGTTGAAGCACTTACGCCATAGCACAGAGAAATGATAATGGTAGAGTACGCCTTGGTGGCCTCATAACCTCCTCCAGGTTATAATACTCTGCGAGACCTTTTGGGATGGCTTGAAGGTCTGACACTCGCGCAAAAGCCTACAACATAGCATAGAGTTGACAGGCAGATAAAACATTCAAGATAGTATGATGCCAACACACCATCAGAGTATGCATCATGCGGTCCGTCGTAACAGAGTGTTTACTTCTCCTTCCTGCCTGTAAGCAACAGTTAGATGTATGTCAATGTTTTCAAATCGGCCAAATGACACTTGCGATTTGTTTTCTGTGACCATTAATTCTCTTGAGAATCTGAATTCCAACGTGATCTTGATCCTGATACTCAACACCAACACAAAATCCACATAGGAATAGAGCCAGAATAGCCCAAAGGAGCACCAAAATCAGTTTCATACTATTCTGACGGTTTTGGCAGCAGATACAGTGACCTAATAATTGAAAAGTACAAGAAAATTAGAACGTATTTGCTTGGAATACTGTTAACTGCGAATAGCTTGTTTGGCTTACCTTTAGCTGACAACCGCTCCCAATTGTGCTTTGAAGGGAAGCAACAGAGCGACGACTACCATCACGAGAGCCTGATTTGTCTCTACGCGTGTTTTCAACAAGAAATAATATCACTGACGCGTGATCTGTAGCGCCTCGATAACATTAACCCTGTCAGCAGTCACTTTTTTTTGACTTTTCGTCACTTTTAGATCTACTTGAGACCAGGATTCTCAATCGCACGGAGATCATAATGTTATTAAAATATAGATGTCCTTGATGATATCAGCTCTTCGACAACCGACCGCTTAACAAAAAAGGATAGAAACCGAAGCCGAGTTCTTCGTTTTTACACATTTTTTTATAGAGTGCAACTTGTACTATGATCTATTCGTTCGTAAATATCCTTGTATTGCGTGAGCTGACACCGTTTGTGGTCCAAGTTTGATCTAAAGTTGGACGATTCTCCGATTGACGAGTCTCGATCTCCACCATTTACCTCGAGATCACTTCCAAGTCTCTTTGAGCTAACGGAAGACTCCAAGTGCCTTTCGTGTGTTGATAGACCAAGTGCTAGATCAAGCTAGATCAATCCCCAATATATTAGCTACTTGATTCGAAGCACTCCTCACCTCTTGACGTGTATACTCGTTCAGGGAGCTGACCCGTAGTGAAATAGAATCAGCTCTACCTTTAGATTTATTTGCAGCCTCCCAGCTACGCAAAAAGTCAATATTATTATCATCAGAGCTTGGTTTCAAGACGCAGTTACCAATATCAGATTGATGTTGCTTATGGCAGTACTGTATTGGCTGCGGTTGCTCAGGATATTCAACATGTAGGTAACCATCGTTCGGTGCCAGTTCGTTTGAGCCAATAGATGCTTGATCGTCATCTAGTTCCTGTTCTTCGGGCATAAGGTTTTTGTGCACTTGATAACCTGGTGCAGCGTCATTTACATTATATAGTCTTGCTGCAGGTTATTCCTTTCAATCGCACACTTTTCGCGACCGACAGGTCTGTACGATTCTATCAGCAATACATGAGCTTCTCTAACGGCTTGAATGGCGTTAATGCGATTAGTGATCGTCAGATGCTCCGTTTCAGGAAGGTCGCCTCCCTCTCGTATTACATAGTGGTTGAGTCGAGCCACATAGTAGCTAGTCTTTTCAACTACAAGTTCGTGATAAGCCCTAAGATAAAAAACATGTAAATTGATCTGGCCATGACTGTCAAAGTAACTTGGTTAAACAAATCTTCACGCAACAGAATGACCCGAAGACTTGTGGACGGCATAGCAGGCTGTGGCTGCTTCATGACTTCTGCAGTCGTAAAATGAGAATCAAGTCCTTTTGGAAGCTCTTCCAGTTTTGCCACTCCTCCTTTCTAAACGGAGATCACGGTATCTGGTGTCAATGATGGAATGACGGACGGTACCTTGCGACAAGCAACTTACCAGCCGTGTTTGAACCCTTCTTGCGGTAATATACGTCGAATTCTCATTAAATTGGCTTCCTAAGAAGTTGACGGCTGTGTTAATGCCGCCGTGTGTTTTGACGTTCGTGAGTCGTGATGCATCCAAGCAACCACATACGTCCGATATCCGAAGAACTTGAATTTTGATGAGAATCTCTAGTCCTGGTAGGGATGCATAGTTCTTTGCTGCAAATCCAAAGAAAATGAGAGAGATGACGGCGAGAATGATGTACAGAACGACGACCTTCATTGTTTGATGTCGATATTAGGTGATACAGAGATCTATTCTAATACTTTAGTTGCGTTAGAATGGGCATTTTGTTTTTGAGCGGGGCCTCTGCCGTTGATGTTGACAGTTTTGAATCGTCAACACTGTGTCTGCCAGAGAGCTAGAGTAGAAGAAGGAAATCACTCGACTTGTCAATATTGTGACTAAAATCAGGCGGATTTATCTGCGGGCGCCACCTCTGTTACTGATCAATTGGGCTAGACAAGGAGTTGAGATGTTTGCTGACACTCTGGGACGCAAAACAGCACCACGAGCTCAAAACAAACCTCCCACTTCACGTTTTTCGAGATCCCATAGATCGTGACAACAATTGTTCTTGGCATGTCCTCGTAGGTTGTCGAGCGATACTACTAATGAATGGACGTAAAGATTTTCAAATGTTTGACGATTATTACAACGCGTCACTTACGACGAAAGCAGTCCAAGAGACTCTCATCAATTTCTGAAATCAATCGAATGGCCAGAATTGAGCTGACTTTCACGTAATCCTTGACAGGAGCTACATGAAAGCCCGATCAACACTCCACCTTTCTCTCGCATTTGATTTTGCTTTGACCGGTCAAAATCTTTCGGTACTGATGAGAATGACAAATGACGACTGATAAATATTTGAATGCATTCTAGCTACGTGGAAAGATCTTGCATCAAGGTGAATAGTCATATCGTGTCGATGTTTTCTGCTGACTGATCTGAAGTTGGAACAATGTTGTATCCTGGGTGGAATTGTGCGGCGTAAAATTGTCTTGAGTACTTATTTATTCATTATCATCGATTTAGATTCTGCAGAAACGATGACATCGCTTGCAATCAACCACATCAGCATTCCTCGACTCACACTATCACATCCATCAGGGACAAGTGTCAAGAGATGGACAACTTTCGGAGTGTCTATATTTGTCATGGCAACTGCTGGGAGCATGTAAGAAGTCTCACCAACGTGATTCTTGCCCAAGCTGATGACCACTTGCTGAAAGGTTTGCATTCTCGAGCATCTCAGAAGGACTACGTGTACGTTTCAATTACGATGCTACACAACTCAATTTGGTGTCTGCTTTGGGAAACGCTGCTCTTTACGTCACGATGATTGTATCTGGACCGTTTTATGATACGTTTGGGGCGTCATGGACGATGCTAGTCGGTGGTCTTATCTATGGATTTGGATACCTATTCATGTATTTGACGTATATTGGGCTTATTGAAGACTCGTCGGTAACGCTCGTAGCCATTTACTACTTTTTGGCTGGCTTTGGATCGACTACTGCTTATATGGCTTCTATGGGCAAGTTGTTCAAGTGCCTGTCAGATTAACCACGAGAAAACTTACATACAGGCCCCATCCAGGTATAAACGTCATGAACTTTCCACCAAAACAAATGGGGTTGGTGACTGGAATTCTGCTCCTATTTTATGGATTGAGTGCCACATTCTACTCTCAACTGTACTCGACAAACTTGATGGACACTGGAAGTTTCTTGCTTTTCTTGACAGTCAGCAGTGTTATCGTAAACACAATCGCAGCATGTTTAGTATTCAAGGCTCCACCAGTAGCTGCAACAAAACTTGCTGAAGCCATACCACCATCAGAATCAGAAGCATCTCCATCACTTTTGCCATTACCTTCTACACCATGGTCATCGAGCACCGCATCCTCTCCACCTGTGTATACCCTTGAAACGTCATCGACCAGAACTAGTCCTAAACGCACTCCAACTCGAATAGCAGGTGCAGTTCCAAGTATGGGATTTGTACAAGATCAACGAGTGGTGGATGAATTGGACTTGTCCGATGAGTATGAAATGATTAGTCGTGCAGATGATGGAGATGCTATTGGTGTTCAGGATCACGAGAAGAGCATGTCTATTGAGAGCGAAGGACCATGGACTTCTAATATTAATACGTATGCACCTGAGGAAGAAGAGGAAGCTAGTTTGACGCCTTTTCAGGTGAGATGTGCTGTGGACAGAACCTAGCATTCGACGAAGGGACTAATTCGTATTTACTAATGATTTGTTTAGATGTTAAATTCTCTAACCTTCTTCCTTTTTGCTATTGCTTACATTTGGCAACAAGGATTAACATACTTTTCGAACATATCTACGATCGTCACTTCCTTGATGGGAGCTGGTAAGCGCGGGTCTGTCTATTGAAACTCCACTCAAAAAGATATGATGATCTAACAAAACTGGTTTTCAGATGTAGATCCTGCAACTCTGAACAGAATGATATCCACACATATTACCATTTTATCTGTCTTCAACTCTGCAGGTCGTTTCGCCTTTGGATTGTTTTACGATATCGTGTCTGCTCGATTTCCAAGAGTTGATCGTTCCATCTTACTTATTGTTGTGGAAATTCTCTTGTTGGTACCCATGACCATGCTGGGATGGGGTGATATTTCAAGTCAAGGATTGTACATGTGCTCGGTAACCATGATGCATGTTACTTGCTTGTTTTGGCAGCAGAGATTCATAGAAAACTCCTAAACTAGATTTTGATTGGTCTTGGATTCGGAGCTGGTGGATCTCTGTTTCCTCCATTGACTCGAGACTTTTTTGGGGTCAAGTACTATGGTGTAAGTTTGGTCTCCAACTACCAAACCAAGCTCATCATACAACGCCCAGTTTTAATGAAAATCTTTTCGGACGCTATTCTGCTAGACTGCATGTGGTCTAGTAATGGTGGCAGTTCCAGCCGGCATCTTTGTCAGCAATCTCGTGTTTGGACACTTCTACGATTTGGAACTACGCTCTCAGCGACAATCATCACCACCTTCTACTACTTCAGTATGCTATGGGGAATCGTGCATCAAACTGGCTTTTGGTGTACAAGCTGCTATTCAACTGATACCCTTGGTCATGTCAATCGCTCTGTATGCGTTTCGAACATGGCGTAAGAATGTTACTGGTGCTAGTAAAGGGCGTTGAGATATCTAAAAAGTCTTCTATATCTGAATTGATCTTTTCCTCTGAATGGACTGTGAACCTTAACTGCATTAGTGGTTGCTATACTAGAGTTGCAGGAGTAATCCATCCCATATGTATTGGTAGTCTAAGTTCTAAAACAGATTTGCTACCATCCTAATGTCAATCGTAGTTCCCAACAAAGATGTATCCTGTTCACTATTTTAACCATGATCAATTACAAGTCTTGTTGATCCACTCAAAGGCCCAGAATGACTGTTATGCGATGGTTGACTGATTGGCAGATCAAGATAACTGCCGCTACCAAGTGATAGATCAATCAGACAACTACCACAAGCTTCAAATGCAGCAGATTGACTCGCGCCACTACCCAACTCGTAATGGTGCGAGTCCATCGTACACGGTTGCGACTTAATGACAGGCTAGACTCTCCATTGGCGTGACGGCCCATATCATGATCGCTTCCAAGTCTAGATGAGCTGTCTAGCGGCTCAAAAGTACTCTTGTGTTGTGAAGTTTGCCCGCGTTCTGGACCATGACGACTTGCATCCAATGATAGATTAAGTCGAATACTGTTGGGTTCCTGTTCAGGTGCCGCTAATCGAGTCCAGGTACTGCCTAGCTCCAGATGTGTATAGTCACCCATTGAGCCGACATAAGGCTGAATAGGAGCAGCTATAGCACTGTCAGAGGCGGGCCAATTACCCAAGAGGTCAATGGTATTGCCAGCAGAGATTGATGTCAAGCCGGCGACGCCAGTACTCGAATCTCGTTGCCTTTTATGAGACGGAGTCTAAGTACATGAGCACCAGAGTTCAAATCTTGTGGAGCAGCCTGGCGATTGGTAACAGCCATCTGACGATAGGACAGACCCGTCTTCATTAAGTAGATCGCCCGGTTGGTAAGCTCTTGACGGACAATCGGTGTCAGGTCACTGCGTCCGAATACTCATAGAATGCTGTTGCTTCGTGTTTGTGCCTCTCTTCGACGAGTTTATGATAAGCCCTAGTGGGAGAAACAGGGCCAGTGGTGCTACTGACATAATCAGATTTGTAGGGATGTAAGCTTACACGATGGCCGGACGAATGCGGGATGGGAGAGTGTCCTGTAACGGTGATTTGACATGCTCAAGAGTCACATCATAAGATTTGAGGGAATTGGGAAGAGCAATCAATATTTCATTCTGTCAGTGTGCTGAGACGGAAGGGATGTTAGTAGAGGTAATCTAACTAAACTGAGACGAAACATGTTGATGGGTGTATCTTACAACGTAAGAGCCAAACGCTCTACCAATTGAGCTAACCGAGCTTCTCGATACATCTCACTGGTTCGAAGAGGATATAAAAGCACAGAAGGCTCCCTTACAAACTGCTTCAAGCTTTCCTGTAGTCTGATTTGTTGGATTAAATCATCTGGACCATGATTCCAATGTTTGAGCATAGGCTCCCATTGGCCAGCACTCGATTTCAGTCTCTCGACCATCACCAAGGTGGTTCTTTGATTCATGTTCATAGACTAGGAGGTGATGCCGCAAGAAATGTCGGTGCCTGTACATGTGCCGGTGTCAAAGAACAATGATTTCAACCCTTAGCACAAGGGACACTGTCACCGTGCACGACCGAGCAACATGGATGACGTGTTGGTAATGACCCTCGTGAAATCCAAGATGCGACCAACAGGTGATGAATCACGAGATTCAAGATTAGACCAGCAAGATGTGAGTAGATGGTTGACGATATAGACAAATGGTTTCAAAGGAATGGAAAAACGGTATGACCAGGTGACTGAAAGCAATCGAGAAATGAAACCTTCCAATTTTGTTGCTCCTTCTGCATCGATGGTGGCCTATAGAAACCACACCGAGTTGGTGCAAGAACTAGACAGCGAACTGTGACAAGATTGATACACAGTACCGCAAGAGTCTTTTCCATGGGTAGTTCCAACTTGCTTGAATATCATCTTCCGCTCAAACAAGTATGAAACATTTCAAGATTGTCAAAAGCACAAGACCTCGTTTTATACAATAAGGACACCTTTTATGTAATAAAATCTCACACAAAATGCTTGGGGGAATCAGTTAAAACGGTGCATATTCATTCTCAGAGCTATTCCTGCCGAACCATAATAGCATCGACCTACATAATATAATGGGTATGTTAATCACCGGGCGGTCTACACAGTCCAAAAAACACAAAAACACTTGATGTACCCGAAAAAGATCAAAAAGTTCTGAAGAACGACCGTCAATCCAAAGTAGAAATCATTACCAGAGTATCCTGGCATTGCGTATTTGAGACTCATGATTGCCTACCAATTTCAAAAAGTAAAAGTTCGGTAATGATGCACCCAAAAAAAGTAAAAAGGCGAAGATAAAGCACCAAATGTATATTAATCACATACCAAAGCACCACCCAAAGACCCCAGCGCCATCGTAACACCCACAAAGGCAAACAATCTGGCTTTACAAGCGACGTTGGAACCCGAGTACGAAAAGTCGTCTGCGTTTAGCTTTTCCTTGTCAATCAGATTCACGCTATCGCGAGAGAGTGTCGGTATGAGCAACAAGGTTGTGATATGGGTTTCATGATTCTCAGAAGAGCGTGAGCGCAAAACAAGACAGCATCACTGGTTCCAAGCACAAGCATCACTTTTTGAATTCTCAAGCTTTGCTTACACAATAAGAGCGATAGTAGATAGTATTCCAGGAACCCAGTCTTCAAATGCTATAGGGACTGGGAGTGCTGGGTCTCGAGTAGAGCAGAATGCCAGTCCTATGATTAGATCAGTCGTTTAACGCTAATCATTGCTTGAATGCTGACGACTTCAATGACATTAAACATAGAGTAATACCATCAATGAAAATCCACCATCCAAGAGCAAACTAATATCCATAACAGAGGAGTTAGCCCTGATATTCGACAATGTCTCAACAACGTGAAATGTTATGTTTTCAAACAAGACCATAATAGTACACTAGAACGTACAAGAGCACCGCTTATATATCCAGCCAGCATGGTCCTACTTGGCAGGCGATTCCACGGCAGGCTCTCCCACATGCCTGAAAAGACTCCAACGCAATAAAATGCACTTGACGAGGAGTTTCCTCGGGTACGCGAGGACGCACTTAACGGGGCACCTAGCTCGGGCTGCCGATAGTTGGCAGACGTACTGTCAAGGGATAATGGTTGATATCGAACCATGCTTATAGTAACGGACTTGTTGAACAAGATGCTTGGAATAACGTTTGGAATTGTGTGATGAACGGTTATAGGCTCTAACGAGGAACGAGGCCAGGTCACTAAATTACGTGTTCTCATATCATAGATCACGTTCTTTCATATTCCTGGTTTATATTTCAAAGTAATGGAATCCTATCTCACTTCTTTACTACATGAAGAAGAATGCAGCACTAACAACAGCCGTCAGACCAACCACAGTCCAACCAGTCACTATGACGGTCTTGTTGTCATATCCGACACCTGTGTCCCAGATCTACGTACTTAGTGTGTTAGTTTGTGACAGGGCTGTACATAACATCTACACTATACATATCGTACCAAGTGACGAATACCATTCAATGAGTGGTATACGAATGGAACCACAAGAGCGAGTTTGCCGAATACAATGACGGGGGAGGGTAGAGAGTATATAGCGCTAATGAGGACAGCAGAGTCGAATGGGGCGATTCCGTACCAGATAGCACCACCGTAGAATCCTGTTGTGGGAGGAGTATGAGCCGTGTGATGAGTGCGTACAGTAGTGAACAGTCCATAATAAGATCGTAAACCTCCACTTTTGGACGAGCTACCGTTTGAACACATAAATCAACCACACATACCAGCAGCTAGACCAGCACCAGTGATACGATGGATGATTGAGCCATACCAGGTGATTTGTGGTTCATAGATGGTCATATGTGGGGAGATGGGACGATGGAATTTCTTTGATGTTTGCCATGGGTCTGAATCCAATGTGGGAACGGAGCGAGCGACTGATGTGGTATGAATCCTACATGTACGAATGATAGTTTAGAATGGGTATATCTCATAATTGTCACAACCAGCGAGCAGCTATTTGTTCAATCCACAATTTTTTATTTTTCGCACCTTTGGGAGAGAGCACCAGATGCAACTACTCGAGCTACGAGTCTGGATGGACTCACTTGCACTGCAGACGCTACACGAGCTGATGATAATGCTCTGCTGGCAAACATGGTCTTGTTCTTGTATGTTACGAGTTAGAGTGAAAAATCGGAGCTTGTCGCGAGACGTAAACAGAGACACATCGAGTTCTTACAGGAGCATATTGTGAGCGAATATGTTGTATTACGTGATTTACAGGTCTCTTTATAACTTTACGGAACAAATTATCTCAAGAAGACATTGACACCAATAGAATTGATTTTCCGTCGCAGTCCAATCTAGTATCTTCATATCCAAACAGTTGGAACGTATATTATACGTGCTAAGACAGGTAGTTGTCGCTGCTTTATCCACAACTTGTAAGTGCTATGCTGTATAACCTGTCGCTGCAGTCGCTGCAAGTCTCCTCAACAACTCGACTCACTCGACTCGTAAAGCAACAATTGGCTACATACCAGAACGAAGCCAAAAGATATTTCACGCGTCCAAACACGTATGTCGCCTCCCTACCGTTTTCACGAGGTCGCTCAATTGCTACATTTTCAACAGCGACAAACGGCAGAAGACAACCATATAAAGATAGGGCAGAATGGCACCAAAGGCACCTGTTCGCAGGCTTACTCTTGGATCTAGGAAGATTCGTAAGTCAGAGTGGTTGTTCTTCACATTGGTTTTATATGAAACAATAAACCTTAATACTAACATAAACCACTATTCATCTGTGCTCTAGTTCATTTATTAGTACCCGATGTAGTAACAGATGAGACTCTTGTGAGATCTGCAGCTGAGAAGGTACGGGTTGATTTGCATTATTCTTGGAACTATACTCCAAACATTCCAAGATCCAACCACATTCAATCTAATAGGCAACACACAACTCGGAAAAGGAAGACTACTTTAATGAACTAACTCAACTCGCCGAAGATTTGAATTTCGCTCCAGTTATTCACAAGATGACACTTACAAACATGTTGGAGGAAATTGATGGAATACCATTGGACGAACTGGTGTTTAATCTATGTGACGGATGTGATTTGGATGGTGTCTGTGGACCGAGTGTTGCTGCATATCTGGAACAGAGGCTATATCCTGTAAGTGTGAGAAATTGGGTGACCAAAGATCATGTTATTTATTGATCCTAGTGTTGTTGTTGGTTTTTTTCTCGTTGGTGCTGAATTCACAGCATACGTCCAATGCTGACAAAGGTTGATGCTCAATCTTAAGTGGTGTTGGTGTTGAATTCATAAATACGTCTTATGTTGATAAAGCCGTCAGCCAAATGCGCATTGCTGATATCCATCCTTACCAACTAGAATGTGGTTGGATGTGACCTACAATTCATAAACAACACCCTCACCAAAGCCGGAATGAAGGAACTCTTCCTCAAACACCACGTATCATGTCCTCCCGGTTTCGCAGCAACGACCTCTACAGATCTAGACGCTGAAGTCACCTCGTGGGGAATGACATACCCACTTTTTGTCAAGGTATCAGACTCGTACGGATCAGTTGGTATAGACGACAATAGTGTGTGTCATGATTCGCAAGCTCTACATGATAAATGTACTGCCGTGTTTCAAGAGTTTGCGAATCTGGTGGTCGAAGAGTACATTGATGGACCGGAATTCTCGGTTTTGATATCCGGGGATTCGAGAGATCCTAATTGTAATGTTGTGGTGTATCCGCCGGCTGAGAGGGCATTCAACAAGGATTTGCCGAGGTTTCAGAGGTTTATTTCATATGTGAGTTTATGTATGCTTATGTATGTGTTCTAAGGACCAAATGTCTGTTCCTTTTTGTTGTTATGAAGCACTCATGAGACAACTTGTATTCAACATCACGTTTTAACATCTAGTTGAGAAATTGGGACGAATCCTTACTCGCACATCATTATGCTTCAGTGACAGATTATAATGATGTAGCTGCATTACAAGACTTGGCTCGTCGTGCTTATATCGCTTGTAGTGGTAACTCGTTTGGACGAGTCGATGTACGTAAAAGAGATACTTCTGGCAAGTTTTATGTGTTGGAGGTCAATGCTTCGTGTGGTCTTGGTAAAGGTATGAGTGGTGGACAATACAAGCTTCGTATTTTGCATATTAGTTTTCGTGAAGGTCAAAGTTTAAAAATATCAACTTGACAGGTTCGTCAAGTGATTTCATTCTTGGGTTGGCTGGACAGAGCACCAAGGATTTCTTCCAAGTAAGCTCTCAACAAGACAAGGAAATCACAAAGTCGGCCTCAACTTGATGATCAGATTCTGTGATAACAACCATAGTGACACTCACCGTCATTCTGAAACATCGCTTCTAGATTCTGTTATCATCCGCACTCAAACCACCTGCCGCATCAGAGGAAGACGGTGATTTGGTGTCATCGCCAACAGAGGTCTCGCCAACAACAATCCCATCTACTACATTACCACCCACAGAAGAACCAGAATCCAGTGAACCCGCAGTGCCAACAGTCGTATTACCACCAGAAGTGGAAAATAGGGTCCAAGAATTACTAAAGAACCCGTCGCTCCATATATTTCCAACACCTATTCTGCATGTCATTGTCGCGGCGGTTATGCTGGAAGATGAAGGAATTCCAGAGCCTGAGATGTCTTTACGAGAAGCCTGGGGAAAAGATGTTGGTAAGTACTTGTTGGCCACTAAAACCCATTTGGCCAATGTTGGGCATCAATGTAACAACTTTTTGCGGAGTTTGCTCGCCGCTGAACCTACAATTTTTTTTTCAAAAACTCACAATCTATATATATTTTATTAGTTTATGTCTCGGAATTAGAACAAGCATTCAGGTCTTTGGGTTTCGATCCAATAGTGCACCTACATCACTTTGATGACATTGAAGCAACACTAGACGGTCTCTCGCCCGACGAAGATTTAGTAGTAAACGCGTGTCTAGGCGCAGATGGCTCTGAAGTCGCACAATTACTAGAGCAACGTGGATTCAAGAGTCATGTTGGTTTGAATGCTGCGTTCTTCCGACATTCTCGCAATCGAATCACGATGAGAGAGCATTTGAAGGCTAACAGGTTACGAATCCCTGTTGGTGTTGCTTTGAATGCATCTGATGATGTAGCTAAAGTTGTGAAAGGTGCTTCGTTAGAGTTTCCTGTATATGTGAAACCTGCTACGTCGCATCGACATGTCGAGGGTGGATATGCGGGAAGGAAGGTGTGGACTTTGGAAGGGTTGCAAGCGTATTTGAAGGTTGAGGAAGATGTTGTCGTTGAAGAATTTATAAGTGGCGTTGAGTTTAAGGCTCTTGTTGCTGGAGATGGTCGTGATCCTGTAAGGGTGGAGCGTGGATTTCAATTTCCCATCTCGGTTTGCAGGGCTTCTGACCTTCTTTGCTTGTTTTAGAGAGCCGATATTATAGTATTTCCAGCTGTACAAATCATCAAGCCTACTGTCGAAGAAGAGCCAACACCAATCAGTAATGATAGAGATTTGGATCCGGAGCCCTTTACAACGACAGCTACCGCTGATAATGCTGATGGATCCAGTCCCCGAATAAACCGCAAATCATCATTCATACCATCTTTACTCCGTCGCATGACTTCAACACCCATCTTCACAACAGCAACACCACCTATAATCGAGCCTAAATACGTACGCATGACATCAGAATCCATCATGACGCAACTGGATATACAAGATGTAGCACGACGTGCATACGTAGCTGTTGAAGGATCATGTTACGGGATTGTGTCTGTTATTCAATCTGGTGGTGTCAATGGTGAATTGGTTGTATTGGGAGTATCGAGTGATATTAAATTTGGAGGTGGAGGTAGTGCGGGAGCTATCTTGGCGTTGGCTGGATTGAATGCTGAGGCTCTTTGGTCGTGGTTGTTGAAGAGGGTTGGGAGTGCGAAGGAGTTGGGACGTGTGGAATGAAATAAAGGATGGGTCTTCGAAAGATTAATCGGGAGGAATGAAATGAATAGTGGGATGTGTAAGCCTCATGAGGATGTGAATGTTGTTTTCAATAAATTGTACATGGTTTGTCCCAACATAATACTGGATGGTGCTTTAGTCATTGAAATTGGGGTTAACCCAACAAATTTGAAGTAGGGGGCGGACCATTGGAGAGAGGTATGTGGTGATGCCATTTTTTTATTCTTGTTTTGTAAAGTCCTTTAACATTTCACCTCTTTTTTTGTAGATTCGGAGTTGGTGCTTCTTGTTGCTCACACTCTGGACTTGAGGTTTGTGCTGTCTCACGAGAGCTCTTCGCAGTTCAATACAGCGATCAGGCTGGTAGAAATATGAATTATACAGCCTTCCAGCTAAGCTGTGCCCATTTCTTTGTTGGGCATTGCTAAGCATCCGATGATACCACATCGCCTCTCTGTGATTCAACGCCATACCAACCAGATGGACATCTGAATGTGTTTTAATTTGGTCGTATCGACTACATGAACAGGCCCGCATACTTGTTTCGGGTTCTGACTGTTTAAGAATTTGAACCAACACAGTTTCAGAGTTGAAAGATGTGGGTTTTCCGGATGCCAACTTGTTTCAGGGGTTGGATTGTTTCAGAATCTGAAACCTTGTTTCGGGACCTTGTTTCAGAATATGTCTCGTATTAGAGGGTCTATAAATTTGCAACATATTTGCAAAACAACTTCCAACACAAAACTCCAACATAACTTTTCCCAACTGAGGAAAAGTGATCACGAAATACCCATCAATAACACAAAGCAAGTCACATTAATAAATTTAGACATCTTGTGCAAAAGCTTGGAAACTAATTTGAAACACTTCCTACTTTTAGCTCCGATAAAACAACATGTCCAAGTCTATCGCTGCGCTTCTTGTCATGGTACTAGCTGCCAGTTCGCCCGCACTGGCAGGTTCTGGTCCTGTGGCTCCACCACCATCACCAGTTGCCAGTCCTGTGGCTCCATCACCATTAGCATCGCCAGTTGCTAGTCGTGTGGCTCCATCACCGTCGCCATCACCATTTTCTTATCCTGTCGCTCCAGCACCGTCATCTTCGGATCCTGCGTCTATCTTGAACGATACCATGGCCATTCTTGGAACGGACAAGGATCACCCTTACATCATTCCTTACTGTGCTGGACAATCCATGAATATTTCTTCTGCGACTGCTGGGTTTCTTCCACTCTCTAACTCAACAGGTATGTGTTTTTGGCAAGGTTTCATGAATGTTTCCTCTCTTTTGGTGGTGGTGGTTTGAGCCAGCTTTACAAATACAACTTTTGACCAACCGCAATCGATTTGCTTTCATTTTTATGTGTAGGCAATGACGGTCTCCCTGATAATATTCACATCTTGATGGTTGATCTTGACTCGGCTATTGACTTGACTCCTTACAGCAATGCCTTGGGTGCTCTCATCATTGATCTGCAAATGCCTACCTCTCATCCTGAATGGGGTAAGTTGTTTCTGTCTGGGCGTTTTTTAAATGGTTTTGTGAGAAAGTGTAAAAAGACGCAAAAGCCTAACATGGATGATTCAACTCTTGTAGCTGACAATTTGAACGTCACTGGATTACTTTTTACTGCAAACACTAGTGAAGCCTTTGACAGTCAAAACATGCTGTCTAATGATACTTCCAAGAAAGTGGTCATGCAGATGGCGTAAGTTCTTATCGGATCCTCCATTTTATGGTAGCTCTTCATCAACAAACCCAACTTTTGAAACTCACAACCCCTTTTGAAAACACTGTAGATTCACCTTCATGTCTCAATTCAACTCTACCGACAACAACAACTCTACCTATGCTTGCATCACCAGTCCCTTCGTCCGAATGCCATTGCCAGACTCTGCAAACGAAATATCTCCCATGACTTCGAAAGATGCCGGAAACTACATGGTCGAATTAGGCTACTTGCTCTCTGTTGGACCTGCTGTCAATGTCAGCGAAATCTACTTTTCCGATGTCTATCTCACATGCTTGCCAGCACCTACTGAAACCGAATTGGCTGATCAGAACATTACTTTCTGGAAGAAGGAAACTAGGTAATGTGCACTTTGAGCCGTTAGATTTGTTTTTGATTGTATCTCTGACTTGGCTTTGTGCCTTTTTAGCCCTGGACAGTATGTTTTATCTCCAGCTTTGGCTGCTGCCCAGAACTAGGAATTCACACAAGACAAAGGACCACAACAGCCCCCACAACAACATCAGATGTAAAATTATGTAAATCTTTATATTTTCAAACGGAAACGATAAAAGTGCATGATTGCCTAGAAAAACAACACATGCGGAGCTGTTCGATATTTATTTTGTCGATGCAGCCAGCTCCCGTGAAATTCAGCTAGCATCTTGCAAATATGTGTTTTTCACTTGCTGGAACGTTTAAGCCAGTTTTGAATGTTCTGGCTCTATGCGGTCGGCCCATTATAGCAAGGCAAGAACACTCGTATAAGGAAGGCTTATATTTGGACTCTTTTACACTGTCAATGGTGAGGAATTCAAGTCATAGATCGTATCAGCGTTCCGAATTCACTATAGACGCGCTTTTGGCGTCCACGGTCCACAAAGACGTGCTTGCGGCACAAATCGGCACTAGAATTTATGTAGTATGGAATCTGAAAGGGATGATCGCCATCCGATTGAATCAGAAGCTCAGATTTTTCTCTTTTTGTCAAAGCATCCGAAAGAGTGGGAAACCCCAGGTATGGAACATGACGGAAATGCAGATGGTTTGCTTGAATTCTTTTAAAGGTCGCTATATAAAATCTGTTCACTTTAGAATAGTGCTCTCTGTCTGTTTTGTGTCAAAAGCTGTCAAAACCCGCAACTGGATAGAATGAAGTTGACACGCCATCTCTTGTGGTTGCAACTATTATTATCTGTCTTTATTCAAAGCGTCATGGCCACCCGAAACTATGCGGGTGTGCCTGTTGAGGAGATCATCAAACACATCGAATCAAACTTCGAGATATTGAATAAGGTGAGAGTTGGTTTGATCAGGCAATCGGTTGGATTGATATTTTTTAGAGAATCGCGGAGAGTGACTTTGAAATCAAATGTTCTGGTCTTAAAGAAATCTTGGTATCGGGTTGTTTGGTCAAGAAGTGATTCATGCAAATGAGTATTGCCAAACCAGAAGCTTTGAGAGCAGTCCTGGATTCGCGGTGGGATTCTTAAGAGACTTGTTGACGTGTTTTAGGTTTTGCTGTTCTACGAATAGACAACAGTATTTACTGGTGGCTGCTCGTTTGACATCACTCGCCTCAAGAAACATGTTGCAGAGAAGGACAAGCTCACTCCTGCAAAGGAAGACTCTTGTGACATCAGCATCAAACGTCTCGAGAGCATATCAGCATTCCACGCTGACTTGGCTACTCTGTATGATCAAGCTGCAGGCAACCCTATCTCTGGACATATGAGTACGACGATCATTTTCAAATCTGTCACGTTTCATTATCTTGCATTATAAGCATGTGTTGAATCAAGTGTGCACATATAGATGTAGAGGCAGTAGCCGCGCCTCTCGAGCATACGACGATGAGGGAGGATGAGCAGTTTCGTCAAACTCTGGAAATTTCGACGGCTACACACGAAATGACTTGAAGACAGTTGACGATTCTTTAGCTGTCATTTTCATCATTCGGTTCTTCGTCTTCGTCACTTTTTCTCTCAGATGATGTTGCTCGTCAGACCGTTTTTGTGGATGTGAGCTGCTAAAGGACTTCTTTGGCATGTTCTTAGTAGGCGAATCTGCACTAAAGTCAAAGTTCTAATAAATTGCCTTCTTTTTCATTGACCGACCGCTTAGGAAACATTTGTATTTTAGCACTGTGTTGTACATCAAATACTGATGTGATGAAAGCAAGAGTCCTAAATCCCATACGCATTTCGCGTACTTGATGCGCCACAGATCGTAGGAATTGAGTAGCTCTTCAACGTCTCATTCATTTCTTTTAGATCGCAATTCGCAACAGCAAAAAAATGAGATTGACTTATCACACATCACAACTTGACACTGACAGTAAATTCATCACGTACAAGAGAGAGAAGAGAGAAGTAACTGAGTACATACTCGCGTATAGATTTTGGTTGTTGAGGTACGTGATTAACTCCAATTTCCATGTATTAGAAGTTTCTCTCTCTATTGGATCAGTCATCAACTGAAAATGTTGATCGTGAAGCATCTTTTGTGGATGCTACTTGCCTGTTTATCCATTCAATATACCATGGCAGTCCGCGGACGTCGAAATCAGCCCTTTATTCAAACTAATCGAAGGACTAGAAATCTGGTTGATATTTACGAGTTTGCACCCCTTGTAATTCCTCCTGTCGACGAAAGGAACGATGCAGAAAGTATGGAACCTGATGAACAAGTTGCACCTAATGTCGTTGTCGATGAAAGAGACGACACAGAAAGTTTGGAGCCTGATTATGTCAAGAAGGGCTGTCAGGTATTGGAAAAAAAGATTCTTGAGATTGAAAAGGTAATCATTCGAAGAGTGACCTACCGTTGCTAGCTAGTGTACAAAATTGACACGTTTGTGTTGCTTAGTCCACAAGTCGCATCGGGTCTGGAAGGAAATCTAGGCTTTCGGACGATCAGAAGAGGTTACCTGCCATCATTGTAAGCAGTCCATCAATGGGACTTTTAGTCTCGATAACTGCTTTTTGACATTGTTTCTGCTTCCCTGTATAGGGCCCTCGATACATGAAAGGGCTTGAAAACGTGGAGTTTGGAGCATTTCCACGACATCTGGCGTATGAAATGATCAAATCTCCTGATGCAATCATTGCAAAGCATCCGTTGCTGTTTTTGTAAGGTTTCCATTGACTTTTACAATTGCTGTATGCTAATACGGCCATACGCTTGTCGCCAGGGCCTATCACAAACTGCAAGCTGCCAAAGCCCTCAATGCTTTAGCATGCGCCACATGGCTTTTTAAAGAGAAGAAAA